GATTATCATCCCATAAGACCTAAACCCTGGCATTAAAATCTGATAACTTCATTATTCTTTTTTTTCTTTCCCCTAAGTACTCTCTATATCTTTAGCTTTCTTCCAAGGTCCAATGTCTATATTTCTAACTGGATATATATATATATATATATATATATATATATATATATATATATATATCTCTCTGAATAATCCACCACCCCCTCAAACACATCTCTCAGAATGGCTTCATTATCTCTTGTTTCAAAACTATTCTTCCTCCTTTGCTTATTTAATTTAGGGTGCCACAAACTTTGTGGTCACTGGACTTCAAGGTTGGACTCATCTTAATCTTTTCTTCTTGGGTCTCCTCACACTCCTCTGTACCTTCTCCCATCCCCACCCAACTATTTACCAAATTCTAGCAATTCTGCTTCCTTGTCCTAGAAACTCATCTTTTTAATGCCCTGAGGTAATTTTACCCATTTTTGTTGTTGTCGTTGTTATTGTTCTTGCTTCTTAACTATTTATTTTAAATTTCACCCTTCTTTATCCATTATTCCTGGTGCTGCAGGATGCATAAATTTTTGTAGTCCTCTGGGCAATGGGGCAAAGTAAGAGCTTCATGGTAATTTGTGTTTACTTTTTAGCAAGAGGACCAACTTCAATATGAGCTTAAAACTGAATTGACATTATACCATTACACAAAAACATGTGTCATGATTATGCCTTCCTATACATTTTTTTTTTGGTTGAAGTAGCACCTTTTTATCATCTTTTCATTTCATATGAGCCAGCAAGATAACAGAAAATAGATGGAGAATTGTAAAGACATATAGATATGGGCTCAACTCCCACTTTCATCGTTTCACTTTTCTGAAGCTAAGGTTCCTTATATTTGAAATAAGAATAACAATAAACTATCTCGTAAGGTTAAGATTAAATGAGGCACAAAAGAACCCAATTCTATGTATGCTATAAATATATGTCAAGCGAGTTAATAAATAAATGTCCCTCCATTTGGAATACCTGCTCTCTCACATCTTCATCTTCTGTTTGCCCTTTAAAACTAGATTTGCAGCCATCCTTAATTTCACCAGAAAGTTTTGTGCCATATTTTCCTGCAACTTCCAGTGCTTCTTGGTTTATCTCACATTCTGCTACTGATATCCTTATTAAAATTTCCCAAGTTATATTTTGGCAAATCTTGAGGAAATTTTTTATTTGACTTTGTTATCTGAAGCAATTAATATGGTTCCTGGTAAGGAGGAACTATAATTTCAGTAAATGTTGAATAAATACTTTATATGCAAATAATAACTAAAAGGTCTTCATACCATAAACCACCTTTAAAAGTGGTTTAAAGTATTGAAACATATTTGAAAAAAACAAATATAAACAGCAGATATTTCAACAATAAAATGTTGATTCTGATTCAGTAATATATAAAGTCCATAAGAAAGAAGGTATTATAAACAATCAGCTCATCCTTAATAAGCACTTAAACTGCTGGTTACTATGATAAGTGATCTGCAGTAATTTAATACAACCTACATAGCTGTGAGTTAAAGTCTCTCATTTAGCTTTGTTTTATAATACATGGAAACTGAGGACCAGAGAAATCAGGTGAACCCCAAGATCACATAAATAATGGGCAGTGGTGTCAGGGTTTCAATCCATGATTCCTAACTCTAGAGCCTCTACTTTTAATGCTGCTACACTTGGACTTCTTAGCAATTAGCTAATGCTTCAAGGTTTAATTAATGTGGTACTGTGACTAATGATAAATAAGCTTGTCTCCCCCACAAAGAAGTAGCAACATTATGGATGGCCCAAGAGCACACTTTCTCATAATCTATCAAATTGTGAAGACACTAAACTATAACAGGTTCTATCTACAAACTGTGTCCAAATATCTGCACGTCGTTGATATTACATAAGGTTTCCGTCCATATACTTTCCATAAACTACTTTACCTTTAGAAAGAATTATATCCTTTTAAAAATGTCTTGACTCTCTTTTAATATTGTTCCCCACCACCACCACAGGGCCTGAAACCCTAAATGTTTAAGAACAAAGCCATCACTTCCATATAGCTAGGAAAACAAGATCACATTTATAGTTCACATTTATAGTTTTGAGATAAGACCCAAATGAGACAATTCTTAAGCCATTTAGAAGTCTCATGTGTGCAGAAACGGTCGATCAATAACAGGAAAACATGGGTACCATGACAAAATCAAATTGACTTAAATGTTCCTTTACATGGGGCTCACTGATCTCAGCAGAGACCAATTATTATTACGGCTCTCAGGAGCCACCTTGAAGACTCCTAACTGGCAATGTGAAATGTTTCCAGAACTTGGGAGGAAACCAAATTTCATGGAGAACATGGCAGTGGGCACTGGAAATATGTTTAAATTTGTAGCAAAAATAAGGGTCTTTATGGCCATTCCATAAAGATTCCTGGATCTAAAATGAAACTCACACTAATAAATCAGGTATGGCTTTAAAAGGGGGGAGGGCACAAGAACTTTGCCTAGCTTTAGTAATACACTGCGAAGTGAAATAAAACGCCCAGTTATGCAGCTACAAATCTTAGTAACATGTTGCAACAATGTGCATTTTGGTTCCTTGTAATTAAGAAGGCAGCCACCAATTCACACCTGGGGGAAAAAATGCAATAAATGAGCCATAGTAAGTATATACAAAGTAAACCTTGGAGATACTGCAGATTTGGTTCCAGACCACCTCAATAAAGCCAGAATCAAAATAAAGTGAGACACAATTTTTTCGGTTTCCCAATGCATGTTTTGTTTACATTATACTGAGTCTATTTAGTCTAAAAAACAATGTACATACCTTTAATAAGAAATTGTTAAAAAATACTAATGATCATCTGAGCCTTCAGTGAATTAGTCTTTTTGCTGGTGGAGGGTCTTGCCTTTATGTTGATAGCTGCTGATTGATCAGGGTTCTGGTTACTGAAGGCTGGGACTACTGTGTTAATTTCTTAAAATTTAAGACAATTAAGTTTCCTGCATTGACTGACTCTTCCTTTCACAAAAGATTTCCCTGTAGCATGCAATGCTGTTTTGCCTGCAGCAGAATTTCAAAATTAGTCAATCCTCTCAAACCTTGCTGCTACTTTCTGAACTAAGTTTATTGTAATATTCTTAATCCTTTGTTGTCATTTTAACAATATTCATAGAATCTTTATCAGAAGTAGATTCCATCTTAAGAAGCCACTTTCTTTGCTCATTTTTAAGAGGTAACTCCTCATCGGTTTTATCATAGGATGATTACTGTAACTTAGTCATATCTTCAGGCTCCACTTCTACATTGAAAATCTGTTATCTAATGTAGCCACCTACATCAATTATCTTAGATTAATCTTCTAAATAATTTGCTGCTGCTTCTACATTAGTCCTTGGTGCTTGACCTTGTATTTTTATGCTATGGAAAGGATTTCTTTCCTTAAACTTCATGAACCAAACTTTGCTAGCTTCAGACTTTTCTTCTGCAGCTTCTTCACCTCTCTCAGCCTTCACAAAAAAAATTGGAAGAGATTTAGGGCCTTGTTCTGGATTAGGCTTTGGTTTAAAGGGAATGTTGAGGCTGGTTTGATTTCTATCAAGGCTACTAAAACTTTTTCCGTTTCAGCAATAAGGCTATTTTGCTTTTTTCTCATTTTTGTGTTCCTTGGATACCACTTCCTCCCCCCCTCCCCCACCAGCCCCTTACTGGGGATTGAACTCAGGGGCACTCAACCACTGAGCCACATCCCCAGGCCTATTTTGTATTTTATTTAGAGACAGGGTCTCACTGGGTTGCCTAGCGCCTCGCTTCTGACTCTCAATGCTCCTGCCTCAGCCTCCCTAGTCGCAGGGATTACAGGTGTGCGCCACTCCGCCCGGCCCGGCCTCGGGTACCACTTTTTAATTTCCCTCAAAAACGTGTCCTTTGCATTCACAACGTAGCTGTTCTTCTCCAGAGGTCAAACGTTTGGCCAATCTCAGCTTTGGACATGCCTTCCTCACTAAGCCTAGCTTTTGTCTTCCTTTCACTTGGAGGAAGGATTGTGGGGTTATTAACTGCCTTAATTTCAACAGTGTTGTATCTCAGGAAGCGGGGAAGCCCAAGAGGGAGCAAAATGGGAACAGCACCATGGGTGGAACAGCAGAAGACACAACATTAAGTTTGGCTGTTTTATATAGGCATGTTTCATAATACCCCCCAAAACAATTACAATGAGTATCAAAAAGTCATCATAACATATTAAAATAATGAAAAAGCTTGAAACATCGTGAGAATTACCGAAATGTAACAAAGTAGTCACAAATGGCGCCAACAGTATTGATCTACGTAGCGTTGCCGCAAACCTTCAATTTGTTAAAAAAAAAAAACCAAACACGAAAACAAAACCAAAAAACCAACAATATCTGCGAAGCAAAATAAAACGAAGTATGCCCCTTACGCAGCTCCAAATCTTCCAAACTGCACATGGTTCACGAAGAAGCACTGAAAAGTCCTCATTACCATGTAAGTGTTGGGTGGTGAAGGCCAAACAGCAGGTGCCATTAATTGAGGTCGTCCGACCTTGAAAGATTGGGGCCCTATTACATTTCTGAGTCAGGGGTCAGACAACCCCTCTCGACCTCAGATAACCAGGCGCTCCCAAAATGGCGTCCATCCAACCCTGGAGCCCGCCCTGCGGAAGAACGTCACGTCACCAGGACCTCGACGCTCTTGCGTAGGGGCGCGGCCCGGGTTAAAGTTCAGAAGTTAACCTCCAGCCCTCAAATCCCTAACGCAAACGTCCGGGTCCAGAGAGGGACCAGAGTACCAACTCCTCCCACGAGTCCGAACCTGGCATACTAGAGCCCAGGCCTGGACCGAAGGAATCGCGTCTCTTCCCTTCGGTACCTCGCTTAGCCCGCCTCGGAAGCGAGCTCAGGCTGAGGCGAGCCGGCCCCGCCCGTGAGCGCGCGAGTGCGCGCACGCGTACTGCTCCGCTCCGGTGGCGCCCGCCAGAGTTGATGTTAGCCATGGAAACCGAGAGCGGCTGCGGAGGCCTCTCTGGGATCTTGTTGTGGGACCGCTGCAGCTTCTCTGCCTCCGCCTTCCGGCCGCAGCCAGCTTCCATGTGGGAGTGCTTACCCGGGTTTACCAGCAGAAATGCAGACTTCAGGCTGCCTTCGCGCCGCCCCTTCCCTCGAGTGATTCGAGGTACGTTTGATCCCTGACCCACCTGGCGACTTCGCTGCCTTAGTTTCCACTGTGCACGGCCACTTTGTCTTCCAGATTTTATTACACAAGAAACAGGTTTTTGTCCTTTGTCATAAAAGCTTCAAGTACGATTACTGAACCTTTTGACGACATTATTTAACTGTTTGGGACATTTATTGTCTAGTTCTGAGTTTCGTAAATAGCTGCCTGTTAGTTATAACTGCTGTAAAAAATACAAAGTAGGGAACTATTTCTTTTTCCTTTGTAAGGACTTGAAATATAATTCACATCCCATACAATTCACCCACTTAAATTGTACATTCTTTAATATACTTACAGAATTGTGCAACCATTACTACAGTCAATTTTAGAACATTTTCCTCAACCAGGAAAGAAGCCTCGCATCTTTTACCAATCACCTACTTCCATTATCCTTACCCCCATGAGCCCAAGGCAACCACGAATCTATTTTTCTGTCTCTAGATTTGCTTATTCTGAACGTTTCACATAAATAGAATTTTACAGTATGTGGTCTTTTGTGACTGTCTTCTTTCACTTAGCATAATGCTTTCAAAGTTCACCCATGTTGTAGCATGTATGAATACTTCATTCCTGTTTATAATCTAATAATATTTCATTGTGTAGCAGTACCTCATTTTTTTATCCATTCACCTTTTGATGGACATTTTTGTTTCCATTTTGGGGCTATTAAAAAATTTCTATTATGACTGTTCCCATGTAAATTTTTGTGTAGACATGTGTTTTAATGTTTTCTTGAGTGTAATACCTGGAAGTGGAATAACTCAGTCATTTGGTGATTCTATGTTTAGCCTTTGTAGGAATTGCCAGGCTTTTTCTAAAGGGCTGTACCATTTTACATTCCCACCAGATTTGTTTGAGGGTTTTACTTTCTCCATAACCTCACCAATACTTGTTATTGTCTTTTTTTTTTTTTTTTAATGTTAGCCAGTCAAGGGGATTTGGAATGATATATCATGATATTTTTGACTTGTATTTCCCTAATGATTAATATTATTGAGTTTCATTTTCTGGATTTATTCATATTTGTGTATCATCTTTGGAGAGAGATCTACTTAGATCCTGGTTTTTTGGTTGTTTTTTTTGTTTGTTTTTGTTTTTTGTGCTGGGGATCAAACTCAGGGCCTCATGCATGCCATAAAGGCATTCTACCACCACTGAACCATGACCCCAGTGGCCCTTTGTCCATTAAAAAAAGGGCCAAGTTTGAGAGTTCTTTGTAGATACAAATCTCTCACCGTGTATATGATTTGCAAAAAATTTCTGTAGATTGTTTTCACCTTCTTAGTGATGAGAACCTTTTCTTTTAAATATTCTTCTACTTGTCTTATCAAAGTGCTTGGTCCCAAAGCCCTCAGGCTAGCTTAGCTATCATACACTTTTCATTTTGACGTTTTTATAGATTACTCTCAGACCCACCTTTCCTTGAAGAACCCATTGTAGCCTCAAAATAAAATTCTCTTTCATTTAGCAATAGCTTGGTATGATTTAAAACTCACTCTGCCACCAACTGATATTGTATCTTGGTTAAGTCACTTGCAATCACTGTTTCTCAATAGTCAAGCCTGGCCCTATTGTACATTTATGATGTTTTGATGTAAAATTTATCTCTAGTAATTCACGTGGGTGGCCAATTTCACTCACAGGACTTTGAGAGAATCACTTGATTTTGAGAGAATGGCTTGTCAACTCAATTGAATTTATAGTGGGCAAGTTGTGTGAAGTGCAGGAAGATTTTTTGGGATAGGAATAGTACTGTTGCCTGGCCCTATTGTACATTTATGATGTTTTGATGTGGTTTTCAGCTATTTCCTATTTTAGGTTTCCATGCGTAATGGAATTCTGTGAATTCATATCTTGGTGTACAACAGGAAAGGGAAAGCATAGAACCAACTAAAACTTTGTTCCACTTGTGAGGCATTCCTAATACCTGCAATCAACTATTGAACTATGTAGTCATCCTTCCTTTACAGTCATAGACCAATTCCTATGGACTAATAGAAAACTCTTAAATTCAAAGACCCTCCAAAGTTGTGAATTTTAACAAACCTCATAATCTACATCCCAAAAGACCTAGTAAACTTATTCCTTCTTAAGACTTTGTTTTCAGGTGTTATGGTATATTTTCCTTTCATTAATGTGTGAAAGAGAGTACTTACCACACAATTTGTAAACCAGAGCATGAAATATATTTTTCATGTTTGAGCATCAAATGTTTTTAAAAGACTCTTCAAAAAATCTACTATAAACTGGACATGGTAGCACATACCTATAATCCCAGCTACTTGGGAGGCTGAGGCAGGAGGATCACAATTTGAGGCCAGCCTAGTGAGTCAACTTAGTGAGATCCTGTCTCAAAAATAAAATCAAATTAAATTAAAATTAAAAGGGCTGGGATGCAGCTCAGTGGTAGAGTGTCCCTGGGCTCAATCCCCAGGACTAGAAATTAAAAAAAAAAAAAAAAATTCATGACATGGCATTCAGTTAAGATCACATAGATTATTTTCAGAATTATAATGGTAGCTATCTTTCTATCTCTGTGTTCTTCAAAATATCCTCAACAGTTAGTACTTGACTATTAAAAAAACAAAAAACCTACATCTGCATACTTTTTAGAACTGCCCTGGTAACAAGTGATTTTTATTCAGAGCAATTGAGAATTAAGTTATTTCAAATGCTTTTTAGTACTGAGGTATGGGTCAGTTCATTTCTTCACACATGAAGTTTTCTGTTTTCAAAATTTTAATAAATGCAGTGATGCTTAGAACAGTAAAACTTCAGTAAATTTCCTTTCAATTTTTGTAAAATAAATTTTAGAAGCATGGATGCCTTCATTCTCTTCATAGAATAATGATAGTTTTTTTTTAAGTTAACTTTGCTAAAATCAGACAATTGTTGATGCCATTTTTATCTCTTAAGCTTCTTTTTTACAGTTTTTGTTTTCCATGTCTTGAGCCAGTTTTCACTTGAACATGCTGGAGGTAGAAGCCATATAAGTGTGTCAATTCATCCAGGATTCATCAGTCTATCCAAATTCATCTTCCTGTCTCATGGATCTTCCATAGGAAAATGATATCAAAATATTGACCCCCATCCACATGAGTGTGACCTCACTTACCCTATGACTTGAACAAGACAGTGTTATCAGAATAAAGTATAAGGAGCCTGGCATCACTGCAAGAGATAAGCTCATACAGTGGACAGGGAGGCAGTCTTTTCATTCTCTGTGCTTGAACCTGGGACAGTGAAGGTTATATGTGGTCCTGTGGTTCTGTTATTTTGTGAATCCTTGCAGGGCTGTCCTATGAGTGAAAGGTGTCATTTGTTCTGGGCGGAACCAAAAAACAGTGACTGGAAGATGTAAGATAGATGCTTACAGTTTTAAAAAACTTTCTAATAGTATAATAAAGATGTGGTTTTAAGGTATTAATTCTTAAAGCTGACCCAAAGCCTTTAATGGCACCCTAAAGCTCTTTTCAGTCCCAATATTGGTTTGGTAGAACTAGTGGAAAGACTATTTTAAACTGACTGAAAGAAAGCTAGTTTAAGATGACTTTAATTTTTTCTTTCTAGCCCTACATATGATTAAATGAGGTAATACTTTTCTAGTTGATCTTGTGTCAGACAGCTTTTTTTTTTTTTTTTTTTTAGAATAAGCAGCTGAGGGCTAGAGTTGTGGCTCAGTGGTAGAGCGCTCGCCTAGCACGTGTGAGGTACTGGGTTGGATCCTCAGCACCACGTAAAAATGAAATAAAGATATTGGTGTCCACCTACAACTAACTAACAAATAAATAAACAAATAAATAAATAAAATAGAATAAGCAGCTGAGTAAGTTAAATTGAAGAGAACCCATGTTACTTAAAAATTAGATTGTTCTGGCCCTTAATGAAAATAACCTACACTAAAGAATGTATGGGTCCTATTATTATTCCATGCTTTCCAGTTCTGATAGATTCTGGAAACTGACAACAGAACAACTAAAAAAGGAAGCACAGCTAATAAAAATAAGCATCCACTCTGGTACTTAAAGCCTTTTAATTTCCAGTTTATTGTTCTTCCTACTACGTATTGAGCTGCCAATGACCGTATGGAGTTTTATTGAAATACTACTTACTTCAACAGGATTTAACTTTTTATATTAGTTGGATAGCGCTAACTTTACCATAATTGTTAAGTGATATGATTAACAGGTTTTCTATTTTAAACTTCTATTTCCATTTCAATTCAAGGGAATTGGGGAAAATCTTTATTTTACTCAGTGAGGGCTGGAAAACTGTGACCTTCAGGCTAAATCTGGCCTATACCTTATCTGGATAAATATGGTAAAGCTTTATTGCAACAATCACTCTTATCCATTTATATATAGTGTTGTATACAGCTACTTTTTTTGCTAGTGCAACAAAATAGAGTCATTGTAACAGAGATCTAATGGTCCTCAAAGCTTAAAATATTTACCATCTGACCATTGAGAGAAAAAAATTGAACTACTCTTATAATAAAAGAAAAAATTAAAAACAACAAAAACTCACAATGAAGTGACCAAATTACTGGCAGACTTTTTTAACTTTTCTTTGACCTCAGAATCTTAAAAATATGAGTTCAGATCTAATTCTACATATTAATTTCTTAATAAATTAATATAGAATATTGTTTTAAAAAGTTAAAAAATAACATCATATTTATTTTGTTTTTTAACAATTCAACAACTTTGTGCCAAGGATCAGGTAATAATAAGAAGCCTGAGAACTGAAGGTATAAATCCTGCTCTTAAAGGAATAAAGAATGTGAAGTAGAAATATGGGGTGATTCCCACTGTAGGTTTTGAGTATGGCACTTTCAAATAGTGGTATTTTTTTCTTTTTTTAGAGACTTCTGGTTACAGAAAAGGATGTGATTTTCAGAATAATCCTGCGTGAGAAGGATGAGTCCAGATGTGCCTCTGCTGAATGATTACAAACAGGACTTCTTTCTGAAGCGCTTTCCACAGACTGTTCTAGGAGGCCCTCGACTCAGATTAGGCTTTTATGCCCCTCCTTACGTATATGTTAATCAAATTATCCTTTTTCTGATGCCATGGGTTTTGGGTGGAATAGGAACACTTTTGTACCAGCTGGGCATCCTGAAAGACTATTATACGGCATCACTTTCAGGTGGACTAATGCTTTTCACTGCATTTGTCATCCAGTTCACAAGTTTATATGCCCAAAACAAATCAGCAACAGTACAAAGAATGCTAACTACAGATATCTTAGCAGAGGAAGATGAGCATGAATTTACAAGCTGTGCTGGTGCTGAGACTGTCAAATTTCTAATTCCTGGAAAGAAATATATAGCCAATATAGTTTTTCATTCTGTTCTTGCTGGGCTAGTATGTGCTCTTGGAACATGGTATCTGCTTCCAAATAGAATAACCTTGCTGTATGGCAGTATAGGAGGCACTGCTCCTCTATTTGTCTTTGGATGGATAACACTCTGTATAGGAGAATACTCATTAATTGTGAACACAGCTACAGAGACTGCAACTTTCCAACCTCAGGATACTTATGAAATCACTCCTCTTATGAGACCCATTTATATTTTTTTCTTTGTTTCTGTGGATCTTGCACACAGGTAAAAAACCTACCAAATATTTTATAACTTGCTTTGTTTTTATGTATACCTGATAAGAGAGCTTTTGCTAGTATTTAAAAAAATGAATCTGGATTAAAAATCATGCCCAAATCATTGGGTGATGGGTTGTTTTTATGATTAATCTTAGAAGTAATCAATGTAAAACATTTATGCTAAAAAGTAATAATTAAATCATACTGAAAGGGGAAAATTCCTTTTTCAAGAAAAGTAAACTATTTTTCAATCCTGTATTTCATTTTAAAGAAAGACCATTGAGAATCTATAAGATAACTGGGCCAAAACCTATGAAAACAATGGAACTTTCTTGAGGAGAATGAGGAAAGAATAATTTAAAAGTTATATGTGTAAATATTATACAGGTTGAGTGAATTCAAGATGACTAGAAATTTTGTTATATAGGAGGAATATTGATTTATAAATTAGTTTGTTATAGAAGAAAAATAAAAACATTTAAAATATAATTATTTACAAAAATGGTTTGATAATAACTTTTGCTTGCTTTCCTTTGCTAACCCTGACTTCTTTCTGTTTCTGTAGATTACAGATTTCTCTTTTCCAAGTTAGGTGTACAGGCATATTATGGACTTAATGTTTGTATTCACTTAGAATTCACAAATTGAATCCCAAACCCCAGTATGATATTATTTGGTGATACAGCCTTTAGGAGATAATTAGGTCATGAAAGTGAGGTCCTGGCCTGATGAATGGGCTTAGTACTCTTTTAAGAGACATAGAAGAGTTTTTTATCTCTTTGTGTGAGAACAGCAAGAAAGGGGGCTGACTATAAGCCAGGAAGAAAGCTCTCACCAGAATGCTACATAAAACTCTAATCATGGACTTCCAGCATCCAGAACTGTGAGAAAATAAGTTTCTTATGTTTAAACTACTCAAGTCTGGCATTTCATTGTGGTAGCCCACCCTAAGATTTGAGTACTAAGAAGTGGCATGCTACTATAATAAATACCTGAAAAATGTAGAAGTGGCTTTGTAATTGGGTAATGGGTAGAGGCTATAAGAGTTTGGCATGCATGCTAGAAATAGACATGTTAGAGGTAACTCTGATAAGATTTCATATGGAAATAAGTAATATGTTACTTAAACTGGAAAAAAAAACAGTAATCCTTGTTTTTAATTGTCATAGAACTTGATTGCACAGTGTTGTAGCATTTGCGAGTGATGAAATGGGATATTTAGGTAAGGAGATTTCCAAGCAAAGTATTGAAGGAGCAGCTTGATTGCCTCTGACTGCTTATAGTAAAATGCAAAAGGAAACAGAAGAATTGAAGAGGGAATTGTTAAGCAAAACAAGGAAACAGAACCTGAAAATTTGGGAAAATTCTTAACCTATTCATATATGGAAAACATGAGAAAGCATATTCTGTGGTTAGATTATTCCTTAATAAAGAGTTTTTGAGCTTGAGTTGTAGCTCAGTGGTAGAGCGCCCACCTGGCACGTGTAAGGCACTGGTTTCAATCCTCAGCACCACACAAATACATAAATACGTGCATAAATAAATATATTTTTTTAAAGATTTTTATGGGGGCTGGGGCTATAGCTTAGTGGCAGAGCACTTGCCTACTATATGTAAGGCACTGGGTTTGAACCTTAGCATCATAAATAAAATAAAGACATTCTGTCCATGTAAAACTACAAAAAAAAAAAAAATTTTTTTTTAAGAAGAGAGTTTATGGGATTACGTGAGTAGAAACACTGCCAGTTTGAACTAAAGGAAATTGAGAAAGAATGAAATGAAGGAAGCCTGTTAAACTTCTTGGATCTTACAAGACAGTGATAGAACTATTCAACTGCAGTCTGGGAGCAGTGACACATGCCTGTAATTCCCAGAAGCAGAAGCAGAAAAATCACAAGTTTTAAGACCAGCTTCAGCAATTTGATGAAGTCCTCAGCAATGTGGTGAGAACCTGTCTAAAAATCAAAAAATATAAAGGGCTGGAGATTTAACTCAGTGGTAAAGCACCCTGTGTTTGATCCCCAGTACCAAAAGAAAAAAAATGTGCATTATTCTATAAGAAAAGGGAAAAATTATACCCAAAGTGATCATTAAGGCCATACCTCAGTTCAACAGGCCAGACAACCTCTGCCTAAAACCTTGGAGGGCAGGATCACCCTTCAGAGTCAGAAGAGAAGGACCTCTGTGTAGAGCTGTGGGAGTGACACTTCAACTCCAAGGGCCTAGAGGACAGAGTATGGAACTAAAGAAAATCATTCTCAAGCCTTAAGGTCTAATGGAATTTCCTTTGTTAGGTTTTGAACTTTCTTGGAATCTATCACACTTCCTTTTTTCTCATTTCTCCCTTTTGGAGTATAAGGAATGTTTTTCCTATTTCTGTTTTACCACTGTATTTTGGAAGTACAGTACTTGTGTAGATTTACAGGTGATTTAGATGATGTTTAGATGAGACTTTAGAGTTAATGCTGGGATAAGTTAAGAATTTGGGGGCCATTAGAACAGTATGAATGTATTTTGCATGTGAGAAGGTTATGAATTTGGGAGTGAGTACAAGGGATAGGGATAGAAAGATTTGGACCAAATTGTCTTCTCAAAATTCTTATGGTGAAGCTATCACCTTCAATGTGATGTTAATTGGAGATGGGGCCTTTGGGAATTAATTAGATCATGAAGGTGGAGTCCTAGTCTCATGGTATTAATTCCCTTTATAAGGAAAAACTCAAGAGAACTTGATCTCTCAGACACCAGGAAAAGCACCCTCACCAGAATCTGACCCTGCTAACACTCTGATCTTAGACTTCCAGCCTCCAAAACTGAGAAAATTTATTTTCGTGATGTTTAACCCACCCCCTCTATGGTACTTGTTAATGCGACCTAAGCTAAGACAAGACTTAAAAATATTTCTTTTTTATACTAAAACTGACCTTCTGTAGAGTCCATTTGCTATTCCATAATTCTGAATCTCTTCTAATTGTGCTGTGTTTATGGATCATAGGACAATAGTAATTCTTCATCTAACCAAATATATAAGAGAAGAGTTAACCAATAGGAAATTTATCTAAATTGACTTCTTAATATCATTTACTTACTATGAGATAATTACAATTAAATGCTTAATTTTGAAGAATTAGTAGTATTGTGTTGTGTGTATATGTGTGTGTGTTTTTGTTTTTTGGTTTTGGTACTGAGGATTTAACCCAGGGGTACTTTACCACTAAGCTATGTCCTCATCCTTTTTATTTTTTATTTTAAGAGGATCTTGTTAAGTTATTGAGGGTCACCTCAAACTTGTGATCCTCCTGCCTTAGCCTCCAGAATCACTGGGTCTACAGACATTTGCCACTATACCCAGTTTAGCAAAAATATTGAGTATGTATATACATAGGACCTTCTGTGCAAGGGTACAGAATTTTTAAGTTTATAAGATTATGATGATGATCTTCAGAGTACAGATTATTGAGTTACTATCTCACTAGGCCATTTCTGAAATCATTAATTACATACGTGTTATAGTATATCTAATTTTCTGTAAGAAATTACAGGCTGAATTTTTAATTTGGTTACCTTGACTTTCTGTGCTAATTTCTAAATCAAAGTGCATAAAAGGTTTTTATATACTGTTTTAATGTTTAAAGTTAGATAATTGAAAGGGGTTTTTGTTTTGGGGGGGGGTTATTGTTTTTTTACTATGACTTAAAGAAAAACAAAAACCTAGGGGAATCTCCATTACTATTTTTAAAGAAGGAAGTGGCTTATGCAAGGAAATTAACTCTCATTTCATTTTTAGAAAAATTTAACTTGTGATAACAAAATAATAAAAAATTGATGATCTTTATACAGTAGGTATAATGATAAAACTGGGGCATGAAATGCATGCACTCTTAAAATCTGGACAGTTGTCGGAAATCTAATTATTTCTTAGTTCTGTTTTAGAAGATGTGAAAGAAAGCTGAAGAGTTGCACTTCTATAGTGTAATTTTTTTCTTTTCCCATTCTTTACCTAATGCAGTTGTGTGATAATAATTTTAAATTACTGTGCATTTTTGTTTTATCAAATACAAACATTTAGGGCTGGAGTTGTGGCTCAGTGGCGGAGCGCTTATCTAGCATGCGTGGGGCTCTGGATTCAATCCTCAGCACCACATAAAAATAAGATAAGGATATCATGTCCACCTAAAACTAAAAAATGGATATTTTTTTAAAACCAAACATTTAATTTATAGTGCTTTAGCTCAGACTCTCAGGAATTATTTGAAAGAATGACACACAGTTTGCATCCTCCTTGCCACTATTACAGAACACTTTTTGCATGGCATGTGGATCCTAGTGAATATTCAGAATTCAAAGTATTTTCATAGTTGTTAAGTTCAAAATAAGAATTTTTTCTTAAGAGCTGAGTTTTTTTTTTACTCCAGAAAATTAATGTTAGTTAACATCATCAGAAACATTAGATTCAAACATTGTTTTCTTGTAAAAGAATTAACTACGATTACCATTTTGAAGCTGAGTCTTACATAAAATAATATTTGGTTACTTCAATTATGTATCCTTGTTCATAATATTCTTGTATACAAGTACTGTGTCATTGCACATTATTTAAGAATAAAAGATTTAAAGGTAGAACTTAATTTTGGTAAATATATTTCCTGAGTGTACATTATTTATATATAAATATCCTATCCTTGAGTGTGTTTGCAAGAATATTATTATCTTGGGAAAAATGTGCTGTACAGATCTGCATTTTTTCTTGACTTTCTTGTGGCTTATGTGTGGTTTGTTTTTTGTTGGTTGATTGTTCTCAGAATGAAATGAATTTTATTTTAAAATTATACTACAGGAAGTATTGTCACATTGTTAACATAGTGTTCATTCATTCTCTGCTTATAATAATTTGAAGGACATACATTGTGAGACAGTATATTAGATGGTGTAGGTCCTGGTATCTCTGTGAGCAAATATGTTATACCGTTATTACGTCCATAGTTGCTCTACATTTGTTTCTTGGCTATTAACATATACTTAAATAGTTACCTTTTGTATATGTTTTCTCTCTCCTTAACTAGCAGCTGAGATATTCAAGCACAATTATAAGTTTTGAACTATAGTTTTCTGTTTCTAAAGTCTTTAGTATTCCATAAATACCCTGACTTTATTAGTATCCAGACACAGTGTTTAGTTAGCCTTATACCAGAAAATTAGCAATATATTGATATTGTTTATTTTTCTATGCTTTAAATTTTTATTAAATTATTTGAAACAATTTAATAATATTTTATTTTCACTGGAAGTGCTATACCAAGTATCAGTTTCTACGCTTAAGGTAGAGGCAGCCCATACTTTGTGACAAGATTATGTTGTATGATTTTATGTTCTCAAAGCCATTTTTTGCTTATATAAAATAGAACAGTATCAAAAATGCTAGTTACATTCCCCGGTTAACTCATAGAGATATAGTTGTGACCATGTTGCTGACTGTTGATATTAACTATACTGCAAGCTAGTAATATATGAGTGTTAGTAAGGCTTTCACTTTCCCAAGGTTACCTGCAATTTTATATTATAAAATTTTAAACTCTGAAGAAATACTGATAAAATTTCAGCCAGAGTACGTTTAGAGTTAGGAGAGGAAATTGTTTCTTCTGGCCTCAGTTTTAACAAATCCCTACATCAATTTTATTACTATTCAGTGATGACTTTTAATTTCTTCTTCCTTTCTTTGCTCATTTGAATCCACATGTGGATTTCATCATATTTTTTAGCACTTCCTACATATGGTTTGTAACCCAAGGTTAATAGATTTTTGTCTTCCTACCAAGTGTTAGCAAAGTCCATTTCTCTAACCTGCTGGAACACCTGCAATATCATATTATATTCCCAGCACATACACAGTTGAGTAAGGGTACTTGCTGGTTTAGAGAAGGAGCAGTGTGTTACAGTATTATGGGTCATTTGTTAATTTGGGACTGGGACCTTTCTCTAAGTGTTCTTTATGTGCGCGAGGGTGTGTGGTATTATGTTTCTAGAAAGATCCTCTGCTATATCTTATTTTGTATGATTTAAATGTTTTCTTTTTCTTGTAGATTTGTGGTAAATATGCCAGTTCTAGAACAAGTGAATCAGATTTTACATGTCTTGTTTATATTTTTACCCTTTCTGTGGGCACTTGGGACTCTGCCCCCACCCGATGCACTTTTCTTATGGGCAGTGGAGCAGATTTTAGAGTTTGGCCTTGGAGGTTCATGCATGTCAACTCACCTACGGTAATTTTTTTTTTGTATTGATGTTAAGTGTAACTTCATTAAGAGCATTTTTCTTTTCAAGTAAATCTGTTCTCGTTTTTCCCTCTGCAGGTTATTAGTAATGTTCATCATTTCTGCTGGAACGGCTATAATATCATATTATATTCCCAGCACTATTGGTGTTCTTCTTTTCATGACTGGATTTGGGTTATTACTGAGTCTTAACCTAAGTGACATGAGTTTTGTTTTCAAACACAGTATGATGAAACACAGAGTAGGAAACAAATCTGAAGCTTTACCCAGTGGTTCAGAAAAACTGTTTATGTGGAAGGAATGTGTTTTGTACATCATTGTACTAGTCTTGGCTCTCCTGGAAACTAGTTTGCTACATCAATTTGCTGGTTTCTCACAAATTTCCAAAAGCAGTTCCCAGGATATTGTTGGCTATATCTTGATGATGTTACTTATAATAGTGTGGATACTTAAAGAAATTCAAAGCATCTATATCTTTGGAATTTTCCGAAATCCTTTTTATCCAAAGGATGTGCAGACTGTGACTGTATTCTTAGAGAAACAAACAAAGCTGCTGAAGATTGGTGTTGTCAGACGGATATTGCTAACTCTAGGTAAGAGAATTTATCTACTAACCTTGTGTTACAAACTATCTGTAGGAATTGTTCAAAAATATAATGGAATACCCATATTTGTGTATTACACTGTATGTGTTCTTTATGTTTTGTTTTTCGTTTGTTAGGTTTTTAATTAATTGCTTGAATGTACTTATAAAAATTCATACTTGCCAAAACAAAATTTGCCTTAATTATAAACTTCTCTTTTTCTTTGTTTTGTTTAAGTGTCACCTTTTGCTATGATAGCATTTCTTTCACTGGATAGTTCCTTACAAGAGCTCCACTCTTTCTCTGTCTCCATTGGATTCACAAGAGCTTTTAGAATGGTAATCCTAATATGCACTAAGTATTTTCCTTTTGCTAAACTCATGATTTTAGTTTAACAGTTTGCTTAAATTATCAGATTCTACCCAATAAAAGTAGATAATTTGTATACTACAGGTATGGCAGAATACAGAAAATGCTTTATTGGAGACAGCCATCGTGTCAGCAGTGCACTTGCTGATCTCTAGTTCAGATTTATGGTGGAATAGAAGCCTGAATACAGGAATCAGACTTTTATTGGTAAGTATATTTTTAACAGTTTTATTGAGATATATTTCACATATCATAAAATGTATCCATTTAAAGTTTACTGTTCAGTGGCATATATTTTTTTTTATATTTAGTTGTTGATGGACCTTTATTTTATTTTTTTATGTGGTACTGAGAATTAAACCCAGAGCCTCACACATGCTAGGCAGTCACTTTACCACTGAGCTACAACCCTAGCCTATATATTCAATTTTATAGTCATTATCACAATCTAAATTTTAGAACATTTCAACATCTCAAAAAGAAACTTCATATACATTAATGATCATCATTCTCCATTACCATTCTCCATCCCACCACCTACACCCATTCCAGCCCCAGTGACCACTTACCTACCTTTTTTTTTTTTTCTTTTTTTCTTATGGTGCTAGAGAACAAACCCAGGGCATTTTACATGGTAGTTAAGTGCTCTACCACTGCAGTACATCTCCAGTTCTACTTATCTCTTTTTGTCTCTGTAGATTTGGCCCTTTGGGAATATTTCACCTGAATGAAATTATGGAATATGTAGTCATTTGCATCTGTTTCCTTTCATTTATATATTCTCAAGGTACATTGATGTTATAGCATATATCACTATATAATTCTTTTTTATTGCCAATTAATACTACATTATATAGAAAGACTATGTTGGTTTGATTCATTGATAGGGTGATGGATATTTAGGTTTCCACTCTTGACTATTAATATTGCTGCAAACATTTCTGTACATGTTTTAGTATGGACATATATTTTTATTTACTTGGTTATGTATATCTGAGACTAGAATTTCTGATGATATAGTAATTCAAAATTTAACACTTTAAGGTATACAAAATGATTTCCAAAGTGGTTATACCATGTTACATTCCCTTTAGCAATGTATGAGGATTCTAGTTTCTCTATAGCCTTACTAGCACTTGTTATTATCTAACTTTTTCCATTATAGCCATACACATATGTGCAAACTACCATCTTGTAATTTTGATTTGCATTTGTCTGATCACTAAAAGTGCATCTTTTCAGGTATTCACTGGCCATTTGTACATGTTTTTTGGAGAAATGTCTATTCAATTTTTATTTGGATTATCTTTTTATTGTTGAATTATAAGAGTTTTTCATATATTCTAGATACAAGTCCCTTGAGAGATATATAATATGCAAAAATTTTCTCCTGTAGCTTTTGTTATTTTCTTGATAATTTCCTTTGAAGCACACGTTTTTAATTTTAAAGGAAGTTTATTTATTTTTTCTTAAAGTTTTTAATTTTAATGAAGTTTATTTTTCCCATGTACTCCAAGGTTATAAAGATTTACTGTTTTCATATGATGTGAAGTAGGACTCCATATTTGGCATTCTTTGGCATATGGATGTACATTTGTGCTAGCACCATTTATTGAAAAGACTGTTCTGCCACACCAACTTTTCTTGGCATTGTTGTCAAAAGTCAAATTAGGATGTATTTCTAGAATATTCTGAGTTCCTATCCATTCATCTAGATGTCTAGCCTTATGCCAGTACCACACTGTCTTTGTTATAGTAGCTTTGGTAGTACATTAGGTTTTTAAATTGGGAAGTAGGAGTCTACCAATTTTGTCTTTCTTTTTCAGGATTATCTTTATTATTCTGAGACTGTTACATTGCCATATAAATATCAATTTCATTTTGTCAGTTTATGCAAAAAAAACTTTTGGAACTTTGATAAGAAATGCCTTAAATCTCCAGATCAATTTGAGGAGTACTCCCATCTTAGAAATATTAATTATTCAACCTGTGAACATGAGATATTCATGTTCTATGAGATGAAGATACATTTATTTAGAACTTAAATTTATTTTAATAATGTTTTATGGTTTTCAGTATACGTATGGTAATACTTCTTTTATTCAGTTTATTCCTAAATGTTTTATTCTTTTTGATGATATTAGAAATGGAATTGTCTTAATTTCATTTTTTACTTATTTGCTGTTAGACTATAGAATACAAAATTGATTTTTTTATGTTAATCTTCTATCCTAAAATTTTACTTAACTCCTTTATTCTAATAAAATTTTAGTGAATTCTTAGAATGTTCCACATATAAGATGAGGTCATCTGCAAATAAAGATAGTGTTACTTCTTTCTTTCTGACCTGGATGCCTTTTATTTCTTCATACTTGCAATAACTAGGACTCCAGTTTAAAGAGTGAGAGTGGACATTTCATTTCTTTCTCCATTAAATATGATATCATCATTTACCATTAAACATGATAACTAAAGACTTTTACAGTTGTTCTTTATCTGGTTGAGGAAGTTCCTTTCAATTGCTAAGTATTTTTTTGTCATGAAGGATATATTAGATTTTATCAGATAGTTTTCTCTGTGTCTCATGTGGTTTGGTCATTTAATATATAAACATGGTATAGTATATTGATTGATTTTTTGCGGCAGTCTGGCTGGGCAGAATCAGGAGTCACTTGTCAAAAGAAACTAACTTTATTTTTAGAACCACACAAGCCTCTCTCTCCCACACAAGCCTCTTCCCACCTCCCCCAATCCTCCTGCTCTTGAGGCGGATTGGCTGGGTCACATGGGCGGAGCCAAAAAAGTCCCCCAATGAGCAGCTCCGTGGTCTGAAAGGGCAGGGAAACAGCCCAATGAGCATCACCGAAGAGGAGCCAATCAGCTAGAAGTTGCTGGGGCCGCTGTGAGCCAATCATCAGCTGGCAATCTGAAAGTTTGCTGGGGCCCCCTTGGGCTGTGGCTCTCAACAATTTTTGGTTGTTAAACCAGACTTAAATTCCTGAGATAAATGCTTCTTGGTCATGCTGTATAATCCATTTCATATGTTGGAGAACTGAACTTGCTAGTATTTTGTCTGTCATTTCTGTTTTACGACATAGGTCTGTGTGATCTCTTTCCTTGTAATGATGTTGTCTAGTTTAGATATCAATTAAATAAGTTAGGAAGATTCCATACTCTTCTATGGAATACTTTCTGGAAAAGTTGATGAAGTATTGATACAGATTATTCTTATATATTTTGTAGTATTCTTTATATATCTTAAATATATTGTAGTATGTAATATTTTATACTATTGAAGCCCTCTGAGCCTCAGCTTTTCTTCATGGATGGTTTTTTTTTTTTTTTAAGAGAGAGAGAATTTTTTAATATTTATTTTTTAGTTTTCTGTGGACACAACATCTTTATTTTTATTTATTTATTTTTTTTAATGTGGTGCTGAGGATCGAACCCAGCTCCCCTTGCATGCCAGGCAAGTGTGCTACCTCTTGAGCCATATCCCCAACTTGGATGGTTTTTAAATCACTAATTTAATCCTTTTTTTTTTTAAACTTGTTTTCAATCTATTCCAATTTTTTAAAATTTCTTATTGAGACAATTTCATCTTAGTTATCTAATATGTTGGCATATAGTTGTTCAGCTGTATAATATGGATAGTATCATGTCAATTTTCTTTTTTTTTTGGTTATTGGAGATTGAACTCAGGGATACTTTACCACTGGGCTACACTCCCAGCCCTTTTTATTTTTTATTTTTGAGACAGGGTCTCACTAAGTTGCTTAGGATCTCGCTAATTTGCTGAAGCTGGACTCATACTTGAAATCCTCCAGCCTCAGCATCCCAAGTTTTGGGGATTAAAGGTGTTCACCACTGCACCTGGCTTTTTTTTAAAGAAAGCTCAAACTTAAAAATGTAACCTCATTTGTTCATTTTTATTTTATAAAAAATTATAACAAAGAGGGGCTGGGGTTGTGGCTCAGCCCTAGAGTGCTCACCTAACACGTCGAGGCCCTGGGTTCAATCCTCAGCACCATATAAAAATAAATTAATTAATTAAAGATATTATATCCAACTACAACTAAAAAAATAAATATTTTTTTTAAAAAAAGAAAATTTTAACAAAGAATCACATATAAGGACTACTTCCTCAAAAATACTGGGACAATAATAAAATTATTATGTTGTTTTCCTTATGTGATTCTAAAAATTCATGAAAAGTCTTTAAGAATAAATAAAAATCTTTTTTGTCTCTATAGGTTGGTGTCATGCGTGATCGTCTGATTCAGTTCATCTCTAAATTGCAGTTCGCTGCAACTGTACTTGTGACATCATGGACAGAAAAGAAGCAACGTCGAAAAACAACTACTATTTTATGTATACTCAATATTATCTTCTCTCCATTCGTGATGGTCATCATATTTATTTCTACACTACTCTCTTCTCCCTTGCTCCCCCTCTTTACCCTGCCTGTGTTCTTGGTGGGGTTCCCTCGACCTATTCAGGTTTGGCCAGGAGCAGTAGGCACCACAGCCTGTGTTTGTGCAGATACAGTGTACTACTACCAAATGGTCCCCAGCTTGACTGCCGCATTGCAGACTGCAATGGCATCTGGAAGTTTAGGTAGGTAAATGGGTTGTGCTTAAGAAAACCTCAGTAATTTATTTAAAGTCCAAAACAAAAAGAAGAAGAAAAAGCCCAGGCAGAGAGACTAAATATGAAATAAGAACTATATATCTTACTCCTTATTTGAAGGCATATAAGGTTATAAGACAAAATTTCTTAGGTAAATTTTCACTAAGGTAATTTTAGAGTTTTTAAAAAAACCTTTTCTTAAATAAATTCAGATTACAGGCTCATTATTGTAATGCGGAAACACAGTTCCCCTCAGTATTTACATGAATTTATAATGAGTATATGTCAAATAAATACTCTAGCTTAGATCCATTAAGAGTGAATACTAGCTGGTTGTTTAGCCCCTCTCTGCCTAGTATGTTCTGATATCAATACTCTTGAAAACAAAAGTTTCTTGTTGCATAGTTAGGCACAACAAGAAACTCTTATCAGATAGAATGGTTCCCAGATGCCAGCCAAGGCCCAAGCTGTAAGCAGACCTTCAAAGAATAGCAGTCAGTCCTGTACAATATGTTGTACAAGTACTTGCACAAAGATTATTTCCATGGCATTACTTGTGAAAAATTATAGACACCTGAAATGTTAATCAACAAGCAAAAGATTACTCAAATTCAATTATATTCATATGCTGAGCTTTTTTTTTTTTTTGGTACCAGGACCCAACCAATGAACACATCCCCAGCCCTATTTTGTATTTTATTTAGAGACAGAGTCTCACTGAGTTGCTTAGCACCTGACTTTTGCTGAGGCTGCCTCTGAACTTGTGCTCTTTCTGCCTCAGCCTCCCAAGCTGCTGGGATTACAGGTGTGTGCCACCATGCCCAGCTCATATGCTGAATTCTTAATAGCAGTTATAGTGAATTAATCTGGGAGCTGTTTGCATTTAACCTGAGAAAATCTCAGAGATACGATGTTGAAAGAAAAATTAAGTTTTATAAATATTTTTAGGCTGGGTATGTAGCTCAGTGGTAGAACACTTGCCTAGCATGTGTGAGACCCTGGGTTCAATTCCCAGTATGGCAAACAAAACAAAAATAAAAATATCTGTATGTTGTAAATTGATGTGACTTTTATATAAATAAAATCATAAACATTGTTACATATTTTATGCATATAAACAAAATTGTCCAAAATCTTTTAAAGCAACGTGAAATTGACTTTTATATATTTGTACAATAGTTTCTAATCTGTTGTTTTTCTGAAAAATATATCCTTTAATTTTTATATATTACCATGTGTACATTGTCTCTTCCAACTATTTGCAAAGAGCTCAGCTCAGTGACTCCTGATAAACAGTGAATAGTTATTTCTTTTCTTGACCTAATGAGAAGGTAGGAATTTTGAATCAATTCTAGGTGTGTGATTAATTTTGAAGATTCATATGGCAAAATGAAACAAACTTGAAAATTTCTTTTTTTTTTTTCTAATTTGTTTTAGGTCTCCTCTTACCTGGGTCTCATTATTTGGGCCGTTTCCAGGATCGTTTAATATGGATAATGATTCTAGAACGTGGCTATACTTACTGCTGTATTAACATTAAGGTCAATGTGCATTGTTGAAACTTCTCTAATAGTTTTTATAGTACATGTGTAAAATTTTACCTGTTGTTCACACATCAAACAGTGACTCAAATTGAAAGAAGAATGTCCTTTTAATTACCAGTGAAAACACCTAGTGATTTTTTTAGACAACTTTCAATAAGCACATAATGATAGCTACCTGGTGTTGATTTTAGAATAGAACATGAAAACAAAATATACTTGCTTCCTTTTCTTCCTGACCTTTTTTTATCCGTATCTTAACTGAACATCTCAAAAATGTGATTCAGTAATAATTTTAAGTCATATATGATATAAACATTCTCAGCTTAATAAAAACCATCTTCTGACCTGTGTCTACCTGCTATAGCCTTCTTCACTCTTTACTTTAAGAACAAAATACTATATTAGATTTGCTTATTATCATATCTCCAATTTCATTTTTTTCATTCTAACTCTTATTTCATAAGTTAGTCCCAGTTAATCTCCTCTAATGGTTCTTTCTTTTTTTCCTTGACATCTTCACATCAGAGTGTCCCAGAGCCTAGCAGTCATTTGTAACAACTTTACCCTTCTAGTTACTCAAGCCAAAAGTAATGGAGTCATGTTTTCCACTTCCATACCCCACATTCACTCTAAAGTTCTGTTTGCTCCACCTTTAAACTTTTCACAACACTTCTGGCTGCCTTCATCCCTTCCCAGATGATTACAATAGCCTCTTAATTGCTCTCCTTGCTTCTGTGTATGCGTCCTACAGTTAGTCAGCCAAAAGGATCTTTAAACCTAAATCAGATTATGTCACTTCTCCACTCAAAGCCCTCAGTAGATCTCTTCTTCCATTCAAAATAAAAGCCATGGCCCCAAATAGGTTCCCTAGTCCCTGTTTGTCATTATCTACTACTTTAATTCTCTCACTTTACTCCAGTACACTGGCTCTTCCTTCTGCCTAGAAGTCTCTTCCTCCAAATAATTACATAGCTAACTCCCTCACTACCTCCATGTCTATTCTCAAATGTCATCTTAATCTCTTACAGACTTTTTCTTTTTTTTTTGAGTACTGGGGATTGAACTCAGGGGCACTTAACCACTGAGCCACATCCGCAGCCATATTTTGTATTTTATTTAGAGACAGGGTCTCACTCACTTGCTTACCACCTCACTTTTGCTAAGGCTGGCTTTGAACTTGGGATCCTCCTGCCTCAGCCTCCTAAGCTGCTGGGATTACAGGCATGTGCCACTGCACCCAGCAACCTTCATATTTAAATTATATTCCCACTCCTATGCCAGCAACCCCAACCCTTGGCTTGCTTTACTTTTTCTTTATTTTCCTAGTACTTATACTCTCTAAAAAGCTGATACATTTACTTATTAGTTTTATTGTTGATTGCCCTTACTCTCAAATGTGAATGTTACAGGTCAAGGATCTCTTACTTTTACTCAGGAATATATCCTAAGTCCCTGGAACAGTGCCTGGCACAGAACAGGCTTTAATAAATGTTTGTTAAATGAATAGAGAATGAGTAAATTTTTAAAAAAATATATTTTTTTCGTTTAGTTGTAGATGGACACAATACCTTTATTTTATTTATTTGTTTTTATTTGGTGCTGAGGATACAACACAGTTGCTTCACACGTGCGAGGCAAGTGCTCTTCCACTAAGCCACAATCCCAGCCCAAAAATTAGTGAACTTTTTTGTCTTAGCATAGATTAGGTAAAATTTCTGGTGAGCAAAAAACTGTCCCTTCAGACCCATGGTTCTCAATTGTAGTCCCCAAACTAGTAGCATTAGAAATGGAAATTCTTGAACCCTACTCTGAACCTATGAAATCAGAAACTCAGGGTTGAGTCCAACAGTCCTTTTTTGTTGCTGTTGTTGATGAACCTTTATTTTATTATTTATCTATATGCAGTGCTGAGAATCAAACCCAGTGCCTCACACATTCTAGGAAAGTGCTCTACCACTGAACCACAAACATAGCCCCCACAGTCTTTTAAGAGTGCTCCATGTGATTGACTCACCTAACGTTTGAGAACCTGTGTTCTAATCTACATGTCCAACTTTAAGAAGGAAATTACAAAACATATAAATTATCAAGGACATTTTGATTGTTTTATTTTTAAAATGCTATGATTTAATATTACCTGATATTATGGATCATTTCTTTTGGTCTTTGTGCTTTAAAAATATACTTTTTAGTGACAGTTGTTTTTTGTTTGTTTTTTAAATCGGTCTGACTTAGACTATGCCATCTTCTAACACTTATATTATACTTTCACATTTACAAAACTTAATTAATCTTCAAAAACCTATGTACTAGGATTCTTTTTCTTTGAAAAAGAAGGAAAAGAAACAGGGTAGGTACTGATTGTGTGCCAGCACCTGGTAGAGCCATGATTTGAAAATGGGTTCTGAAGGCACTGGTAGTTTTGAGAATATAAATTAACACTACTACTAATTATAATAGTAAACAGCAACCTGGTATGTCCTCTTTAAGTCATTCCTTCTAAGGAAGTAATCAAAATGTGTTTAAAATTTGCGTAAGAACATATTCTTTTTTTTTAGTTATTGATGGACCTTTATTTATTTATTTATTTATATGTGGTGCTGAGAATCAAACCCAGTGCCTCATACATGCTAGGCAAGTGCTCTACCACTGAGCCACAGCCACAGCCCAAGAAAATGTTCCTAATTTTCATTCACCAAGTCTTTATTTGTTGCATACTCACTGTGAATGGGTTTAGGCACTGGGGATATACTTGTATCCAAAACAAAGCTATGAGTTCATCTTGTATTTGGAGGGGATAGACAGTAATCAAATAAATCTGTTGTTACTATCCTATTGTCATTTTAAAAACTGGAACAAGAGTACAATTACATAAGTTGTGGCATATTAGTATAATGATTTTCTTACTCCCATAAAGTTTGGTGGAAAATATATTAAAACTACTAGTTATACTTTATAATTCTAGTTTTACTTTTTTTCTTACAAAACATTCTAATTTAAGTTTTTAATGTGTAACTTGCCTTAGACAGTATATATAGGCTTTTAAAATTATGTTTGTATTCAGTAAAGTTATTTATCTAATTTCTAGTGGAGTTCTATAATTTATTTTAAAATAATGGTGTTTTTACTATCTCTATCTAGTTTGTATTAAGGTATAGGTCTTGAGTTAAATAACTTTTTTTTCATATTTTTATGATGAGAATATACAGGCATTTACAAAACTAATTGCTATTCTCTATGTAATAAATGATCATAAACTCAAGTATTTTATATTTCCTCTTAGGGGTTAGAATTACAAGAAACATCCTGTCATACTGCTGAAGCCCAGAGAGTTGATGAAGTTTTTGATAGTGCTTTTGAGCAGGAAGAATACACAAAAGTATGTTCCCTTAATGAACACTTTGGGAATGTCTTGACCCCCTGTACTGTTTTGCCTGTGAGACTATATTCTGATGCCAGGATTGTCCTATCTGGCATAATTGATTCCCATGAAAACTTAAAAGAATTTAAAGGTGACCTTGTTAAAGTGCTTGTGTGGATACTCATTCAGTACTGTGCCAAAAGGCCCACCTTGCAAGAGGATATTCATAAAAGTGAAAGTAAAAGGGAAACACCTCTAGTGATCCTGCCAGCTTCAAATACTTCCCCACGTCCAAAGTCCCCAGAAGACACAGATAGTTTAGATTCCAAAACTTTTGATGACTGGTCTGATGATAATATTTTTGATGATGAGCCAACTATCAAAAAAGGAAAAGAGGGAAAAAAGCAGTTGAAAGATTTTCCAGGAACAAATTTGCCTATTCCAGGATCAGTAGACTCACAGAGAGTTGGTGATCATTCTACAGGTACAGTTCCTGAAAACAGTCTTTATAAAGCTGTTATGTTGGGATACCCTGCTGTTGACAAAGGAAAACAAGAAGACAAGGCATATGTCCCTCTTATGGACTTCAGTTGTTCCTATTCTCATTTACTGAGCTTACCTGAAGAATGGAGGTCTAACTGTATGCCTAAAGCCATAATGAAAGAGCTGAGTTCATTATTTCCAGAAGACTGGTACCAATTTGTTTTAAGGCAGTTGGAATGTTTCTATTCAGAAGAAAAGGCCTCAACTCTACTGGAAGAAATTGCAAAGGATAAAGTTTTAAAAGAATTTTATGTTCATACAGTAATGACTTGTTATTTTGGTTTAATTGGAATAGACAATGTGACTCCTAGTCCTGGTCATATATTAAGAGTTTTCAATGGTGTTTTACCCTGGTCTGGTGCCTTGGATTGGCTCACAGAAAAACCAGAACTGTTACAACTAACTTTGAAAGCATTCAGGTAACTCATTTTGATTATAATGTGTGACATTGTTTGAAAAATGGTATTTTGTTTGTAATCACCTAGAAGACTGTTTGATTTTTAATGTTTTTTAAAGCCAATTTCTTAAAAATGAAAAAAAATGCTTAGTATGTATTGTGATCATATTGACAGTACACTTTAATTTCTACTTCCTTTGCTTTTTTTAATGTGAAGGACCTAGTTTTCAAATGACTTATTGGATTTCTTCACCTTAACTGCATCATTTCTCCTTTAATTTTTTTGTCTGAAATATAGATAATTTCAGTTCAAAGTCTTAAAAATATTGATTGAACAAATCCATTTCCTCTATGGTTCATTTTAAAATATTCTAAAACTGTTTGATTCTCCCTTCTTTTTAGGTATACTCTGAAACTAATGGTTGATAAAGCAAGTTTAGGCTCAATAGAAGACTTTAAAGAGCTGGCCAGCTGCCTTCATGAATATGAAAGTGACTGGTACATTGGTTTAATATCAGATGAAAAATGGAAGGAATCAATTTTACAAGAAAAGCCATGCTTGTTTGCTCTGGGATATGATCCGAATATGGTAAGGTTAAAAATGTTCTTAAATCAGTTATGAAATATTCACACTAATAATTGTATTCTAGCTTTTGATATATACATGAACACAAAAATCATAGTTTCAAGACATTTTTTATCGTGACTTAATGATCACAGTAGTCCAACCTTAGAATAGCTGTTTCAGAGACAAATAAAAATGTGTAGTCATTATATAACAGTGAACATATGAGATAGCAAGTATAAGTACAAGTATAGCATATTTGGCAAAATAGATCAGATTCCTATACCCAGTTCAAGAGTAAGAATTATCATTTTGGATTTGACTCCTAGAAGAGAAATTAATTTATAAATGGAAAATTATTTATTTTGCTGATATGTATACTTTATTTGAAGCAAATCTAACCTGTGAGAATTTAGAAATACTCGAAATAGGGATTTTTTTAAAGATTTAATATCTGTACTGTATTTAAAATGTCATTGATTGTGCACAATACGAAAGATTCAGTATTATGAACCTGTTGTGGGTTCCAAGCCTGCCTTAGCATGTGAGGAACTCTCTTAAGTTCTCTTCCCAGTAAAACTGATGAATAATAAACTTTAAAAAAAAAAAAAAATTCATTTAAAGCCTGAGAAATAATTCTAAGGGCATAAAACAAATAAAAGAACACTAATTCAGAAAACAATACTAAAACAGTAAGAACTGTGAGATACCAGTATTTGAACCACAACTGCCTTCCCTCTCAGCAATACAGAAACTCTATTTAGACTGGTACAACCAAGAACACAGGGCCCTCTCTCCCCTCTGCTCCCACTTGGAAGATTGTTTTCTCAGGAAAATCAGGAGTCCAGTATTTCTCATCTCGTTTCCTCCAGCTATCTGTTGCTGAGGTCAGACTCTATGTATTTATAGTTGAGGTAAGAATTACTTTCTGGCCAACTACAGTTGTGGAAAGGAAGCTTTGTCATGTTATCACCGATAATTTTGGATCCCTGATGATCATTGCCTCCTCATAAGATAGAGGTTCTTCACTTAAAAAAAAACAAACTGGAAAGACTGGGGCTCCTGTTTCCCCTCCACCAAGTGTGTATCTCCTTAAGCAGAAGTGTCACTCAGAACCATGTTACTGTTCCACTTCTTGTCCAGAACTCTGCTTCACCCACAGATTTTTTTTTTCCCTCTGGGAGAAGCAAATCATTAAAGCCTAGAACTCTGAAATTCATCCTGAAAGAACTGATTCATTTGCAAGTGTGAACACATTAAAGCCTAATATGCACTCCAAAGCAATGGAGGTTGTAACAATTACAAGGTATATTCATTAGAAATACAAGCTAAACTGTAAACTGGCTAGATTAAAAAACTAGGGAAAGAAGTAAAAAAGAGCACTCCTGGGGTCAGAACAAATGTCAGACACTGACATCAAAAACTTTTCCAAAAATTTTTCCCAAATTTAATGGATCAATCCATGGAGCAAGTTATGTCCCAGGTTGTTGTTGCAAACAGAGTAACTACCTGGCAATCAGTGGAGTTTAACAGCTAGGTATAACTATTTAATGAAGATAGCTCTCCCCAAACCATTGCCATTCCAAAGTAATGGTGAGCATTCACAGGGATACACTACCAGAGGAGCAATATCTGAGATGTTAAATGGTAGGGTTAGTAAGGGGTGGGAAGGAATTTACTCACAAAAGTAATGTAGTCATTCATTAAACAAAATAGTACATAAAAATAGCAAGTTCTGGGGTAGGGAGTAAGGAGTATCAGTTACTCAAGTCAACTTTTCGACATTGTGACTAAAAGACCTGACAAGAACAGTTATAGGAAAAAAGTTTATTTCAGGCCTCACAATTTCATGGGTCTCAGTCCACAGATGGCTGACTCCATTCCTTAGGGCCTGAGGTGAGGCAGAATATCATGGTGGAAGGGTGCAATGGAGGAAAGCAGCTGGGGACATGGCTCTAGGAAGCAGAGAGAGAACTCTGCTCAAAAGGACAAAATATAAATCCCAAAGACATGCTCCTGGGGACCCACCTTCTCCAGCTATGCCCTCCCTGCCTACAGTTACCATGCAGTTAATTCCTGTTGTGGAGGATGTTAACATACTCCCATAACCCCATCATTTCACCTCTAAATTTTCTTACATTATCTCACACACGAGTTTTGGGGAGACATCTCATATTTGAACCATACAGAGTTTTTACAGTGTTATCTGAGCCATTCAGTTTTCAACAAAAAATTATAAATTAAATGTAGCATGTCCGTAGATATAGAAAATTTACAAAAAGGAAAAGAAAAATTTACTAGAGGGGGCTCACTGGTAGATATGAACAGGCAGAAGAAAGAATTAATGAACTTAAAGAGTTTAGGTTGATAGTTGTACTATCCAAAGAATGTTAAAAAGGAAGATAACTTCAGAAAATGTGGAACATCATAAGTTGCACCAAAATGCACATAACTTACCAAAAGAAGGAAAAGAAATTATTCAAAGAAATAATGGCTGAACACTTGCCAAATTTATCAAAAACATTATGCCAGAAAGATAATATGCAGCTAACAACAGAGCAGTATAATACATGAAGAAAATCTGACAGAAATGGAGAAATAGGCATCAATAATAATATTTAGAGATTTCAATACCCTACTTTTAACCATGAATAGAATTAGATAAAGAAATAGAAGATTTAAACAATACTGTAAGTCAGTGATACCTAACAGACCTATAGAGCACTCCACCCAATAACAGAATATGTATTCTTTTCAAGTGCACGTAGAACATTGTCCAGGATAAATCATACACTAGGATGTAAAACTGCTCAATAAATTTAAAAGGATTGTTATAATCCAAAGATGTCTTCTGACCACAATAAAATGAAATTAGAAATCAGTAAAAGAAATTTAGAAAGTGCACAGATATTTGGAAATTAACACACTCCTAAGTCACCTCTGTATCAAAGAAGAAATCCAAAGAGCAATTAGAAAATACATTGAGATGAATGAAAATGAAGACACACATACCAGAACTTCAGGAAAAAAGAAGCAGCATCTCAAATTAACCCAACCTCCTACAACATATTGGGGAAAAAAAGAGCAAATTAAAAGCAAACAGAAGAAAAAAAAAAGATTAGAGGAGTGGTTATGAAATAGAGAAGAGAAAAACATATAAACATTTCAGTGCAACTAACAACTGATTCTTAAAAAAGATCAGCAAAACTGAAAAATCTTTAGCTACTTTGGCCAAGAAAACAAAAGAGATAGAAATTCCTAGAATAAGAAATAAAAGAGGGGACATTAGTACTAACCTAGTAGATTTAAAAATGACTATGACTTATTATTGCCATTAAATTATATATCTTAGATGAAGTGAAAAAATTCATACAAACTACTAAAAATTAGGAGGAAATAAACAAGAGGTTGAATTAATCAAAACTAATCCCAGAAAGAAGCTAAGGCCCCAAAAGACTTCATTGTCTAATTCTACCAAACATTTAAATGATTATTAATACCAGTTCTTCACAGTTGCCTCCAGAACAAGGGAGGGGAGCATTTTTCCCACTCATTCTATGAAGCTACTATTACCCTGATTAAAAAAACTAGACAAAGATATTATAAGGAAAAAAGACTACACATCTCTAATCTCTCATCACTATGGGTGCAGAAATTACCAACAAAATACTAGCAAACTGAATCCATTATTCTATAAAAGAATTATATACCATAATTAACTAGGTTGCAAGATTGATTTAATATTAAGAAAAATTATTAACATAATATACTACACATAGAATAAAAAACAAAAACCACATAATCATCAGTAGACACAAAAATCATTTTAGCAAAATCCAATAATCTTTCAGAATAAAATCACTTGAACTAGGAATATAACTTGAGTATTCAACATGAATTTGGGGGATGGGGACGTAAAGATTGTCTATAACATCTGGCTAGAACCCTTAATACAAGGTTTAACAAAAAACTGCAACAGTGGACATCCTTGTCTTCTGATCTTAGGAGGGAAGCATCCTTTTTTTTTTTTAACCAATAAGTATGATGTTAGTTGTGAGTTTTTCAATGTTAAATTTGCATGTATATCACAATATATCATATACATGATTCATTCATGCATCCCAATGTATACAACATATATATTTGTAGAACTAACAATTTATTAGTCTCTGTCATATCATGTATATTTATATGTTTTCATGCGTATTTTCAAATGTATATTCTTATGAACACTGGTAAACCCTAATCTTGATCTTAATTTTCTAATTTTAACCCTAGATCCATACCAAATTTGATATTACACTTTCTTTTTTTTTTTAATTTGTTATATATGACAGCGGAATCTATTACAATTCATATTAGACATATAGAGCACAATTTTTTATATCTCTGGTTGTATACCTTAGAAAGAAATTTAATGGGTAAGATTTATACCCTGAAAACTATAAAACATTGTTGGAAAAGGAAATTAAACATCTAAATAAATTTAAAAATTCTCATGTTCCATTCAATGGAAAAGGGGTCATCTTGGTGCTGGGATAATTAGCCACATTCAAAAGAGTGGCATTGGGTTGTTAATACTAGTTTCCCAGGACTTCTAAGAACAAATTATTACCAAAGACTGACTGAAAAACAAATTTAGTCTCTCACAGTTCTGAACTAGAAGTCTGAAACCAAGGTGTCAGTAGCCATGCTTCCTCTGAAGGCTCTAGAGGAGAATTCTTCCTTACCTCTTCCTTCTGGTGGTTCCTAGCTTTCTTTGGCTTGTGTTACTATAACATCCATCTGTCTCCATCTTTGCATGGCCTCCTTCCGTACATCTTGTGGCAATTCTTCTACTTCTTTTTAAGGACACCAGTCATTGACTGACTTAAGGTCCCACCTAAATGCAGGATGCTCTCATCCCAAGATCCTTAAACTATATCTGCAAAGTACCCATTGCAAATAAATTCACATTCATGGGTACTGTGGGCTAGGACTGGAATATATTTTCTTTGAAGGTGCTGTTCAACCCACTCCAGATCTTACTTTATACACCATATAAAAAAAAAAAAAATACATCAAAGAACTAAGTGTTAGAGCTAAAACCATATATATCTTGGGAGAAAACATAGGAGTAAATTTTCACAACCTCAAACTTGACAGTGAATTCTTAGATGTGACACTGAAAGCATGAGAAATAAAAATAGATAAGGCTTCAATGGACATCGTCAAGTAAGTGAAAAGATAACCCAGAATGGGAAAAATAATTACACATATCTGGAAAAGGACTTGTTACTATGCAACGTTTCTCTAAAGAAATGGCCATAGCCAATAAACACATGAAAAAATGGTCTACAGCATTTACATCATTAGTCATCAGGGAAATGCAAATCAAAACTACAACCTCACTTCACATACACTAGGATGGCTGAAACAAAAAGATAATAACAACTAATGACAAGGAACTGTGAAGAAATTGGAAACTTCATACATTGCTGTTGGAATATAAAATGGTACAGTTGCTTTGGAAAATACACTGGCAGTTTCTCAAATGGTTATGCAGAGTTACTGTATGAACTAGCAATCCTAAATTTATACCTAAGAAAAACAGAAAGATCAACCTAAGAACTTGTACACAGATGTACAGCAGCATTATTTATAGTTGCTAAAAGGTACAATCATATAATTAAACAATACTCAGCCATAAAGGAATGAAGTACTGATTTACGCTACAACATACATGAACCTCAAAAATATGCTAAGTGTGAAAAGCAAGTTATGAAAAGTCACATATTTCAGTGACTCATTACATTATGATTGCTTAAGGCAAGGGGGTATGAAGAAACAAGAAAGTAAGAGCTAAACAATATGGGACTCCATTTTGTTCTAAAGTTAACTGGTGATTGTTGCACATGTATGTGAACATACTAAAAACCATTGAATTATAATTGTTAAATGAGTAAATCATATAGAATATAAATTATATCTCAATGAAGCTGTTTCTAATGTGGAGCCTATTGCATTATTGCCCACTGATGAGTATATATGATGTATGTATTATTGAAGTTATGTGGCCTGAAACCAGAAAAGAAAAGAAAAGTAGCTGAAATTTTGCTGTTCTGGAGATTAAATGAAATAGCTATCAGGAAAATTTTCTTCTCATACTTACTTAAAGAGCTAAGAAAGAAAATACAGGTGATTCTTAACTCTAAATATAAACAAATTGTGTGTGTACATTTTAAAACACCCGTTTGTTTTTAATCTTGGGAGAAAGTTTGTCTAACTGCAACAAGATTTTCTCTAATTTTTAAGTAAAATATAAAAGTCCTGATGTAATCCCTTTTTCTTTTCTTTTTCACTTTTCCCTCCCCTTTTATATTTTAAAGGGAGTTTATACTGGGAGAGTACTGACCCTTCAAGAATTGTTGATACAAGTTGGGAAGTTAAATGCAGAAGCTGTTAGAGGTCAGTGGGCCAATCTTTCATGGGAATTGCTTTATGCAACAAACGATGATGAGGAGCGTTATAGTATACAAGCACATCCTCTACTCCTAAGAAACCTTACAGTTCAAGCGGCTGATCCTCCTCTGGGATATCCAATTTATTCTTCAAAACCTCTCTGTATACGTTTGTATTAGAGCCCATTTTGACTTATAAATGTAATATCATCAATGGATGTTTTACTAGAAAAGTAACAATGTAAACTTCTTGTAACTTTAGTGGACTTTTTCCTGCCCCAAGGATGCCTTTAAAAAGTTAAGCTTCATAGAATGAATTCCCTTAATCATCTAATGGTTTAGAAAAACATTAACAACAGCATCTTTATGTCTAACATAAAGTTAGAAATTGGCCAATATTTGTGCCCTATGGATTATGGTAGGCTTTGATAAATACAATAAAACATTTTTATATAATTAGAAATTAAATTTGTGTTGCTTTCTTAAGTGTTTGATAGGTGACTGGCCTTTAAAAAAGTCAACAGTTATGTAATTTTTACATACATAAAAAATATACATACCAGTGTTTTTAAATCCATTTAAGGGTTAACTTAATGTATACATATATTTATTTAAAATATAATTTTTATAGTCTTTTTAAATGTTGTACTGTTTTAACGTTTCATGATTTCATAATGATGTATTTATGTCATGTACCTCAACTCAGAAATCTTAACAACTTTTAATAAAATCTTTCCAATAAAATCTTCTCCCTCTTTTCCAAATATCTTTTTTTAACATATGTGAAAGAAATAGTGCTCATCCCATGCATTGTGTGAATGTACAGGAAGAGCAATTTGAGGGTAATCTGAGTGTGCCTGCTCATTGATCTGATTCCTTATGCAATTATTTTCAAATGAATTTCTTGATTCAAAAAAAAAAGACCTCCCCAAAAGGACTACCAATTATTAATGTCTTAAGGTATATTAACTAAAGTTAGAAGATGGAGATAATTTTTTCATAATGTGATCAGAATTTTATTTTTATCCTCTTGCTACTTAGGAACATTTTACAAATACTTATAAAAGGGATGAACAATGAAATCTGCATCAGTTGAGACAATGAATTTCCTCTACTTCTTATTTAATTTCCAACTAGATCTATAGGAGCCTGCTAGATTGGTAATGTAGTGATGTATTCTTCTTAGAAATAATTAAAATTATTTTAAATGTACCTGTTGGAGTTTTATTATTGTTATTATCAGTCCATTTATTTACTGTGTAGACCAGTTTACTCTTAACATTAAAGGATAACTTTTGAACTAACTTTCAGTTAGATTTGCGGTTTTGTATTACACCTGAGTTCAAGTTCGGGTTTATGATTTACATAATTGAGATTTACTAGCTGTACAATTTTATATATTATTTTTTTTTTAGAAAAATTTCTTGTCATTAAAAATTAATTATGATGATCAGTTTTAATGCTGCATGACATTCTGTTTATTTATTTGACCACCTCCCATAATAGGAACTTTAATTTGTTTAAAGATTTTTATTATTATAGTGATGCCAAGCCATGTCTTCCCTTGACTTTGCTTCTCCTCATTCATGGCTGAAGTTTCCTCATTCATTTTTCTATCTGCTCCAGTCTGGAGTCTATCTCTACTACTCACCCAAAGTTTAAAAAGTTATTATTGAGGTCATTATTTACCTACATATTTTCAAATCAGCAGGCCACTTTGTCTCATCTCACCTATCCTCTGAGTAGCATTTGGTATATTTGAACACTCATTCCTGAATCACCTTTTGTGTTTTCTTCTGGGCTTTTGTGAAACATTTATTTTCCTCCCATCTTCCTGACTATTCCTCTCAATTACCTCTTCCACCAGAACTCTAAATTTTGGAATTTTTCAACAATTGGTTCTAGATTTTCTGTTCTTCTTTTGTATTCACCAATTTCATTTACTCCCAAGACTTAGAATATTACCAACAAAATGATGATATTCAAATATATATATATATATATGTAACCCAACCTTTCTTCTTACACTGGACCTATGTATCTAATATTTGATATTTCCACGATATATTAAAACTGCTCTTACTGAATTTTCTCTAAAACCCACTTGCATACTTGTAAGTAGTAATAGTGCCTAGATTAAATCATACCAGTCACTTCATGGAGAACTAGAAAAGCCAGGCAAAAAAAAAAAAAAAAAAAGAATCTGCTTAAAGTCATTAGAGAACCAAGAGACAGTGAAGAATTGCATCCAAGAGCCAAGGCAGAATGATATTTAGAGGCCTGGCTCAACATTTGGGTTGTTTTCCTTCCTGAACACTCTATCAGTTGCTAGTAGAGTCTTCTTGAGCTGAGTTTAATCCTGAACTTAGCCCTTACTACCTTAGTAACATTGGAAAGTTCTACCTACTTGCTTTGTGCAGCTCTGTCATCTATAAAAGTAGATAATATCTCCTACCTTATGGCCGCTAGGAGGAATAAATGAGTTAACTAACACTAAGCACCCCAGTATAGCAAGAGGCATATTACAGATGTTGAATAAATCATAGCTGCGATTCCTACTTACTGCTTCAAACCAGTTATTTGTATCTCTTCATGCTTCTGAAGAGTATAAGCATCTTGGAGGTAGGATCATTCAAAATACTTCTTTATATCTGCTCATTACCCAGCACTCTCTTTTGTTTGAAATATTTCATACAGTTATGTTACTGTGCTTTGGATATTTTTGTTCTACTCAACTTTCATGTTGAAAGTTAATCCCCAATGCAAGTAGTAAGAGCAGGACCTTTAGATAAGGGAATCATGAAAGTGAATAGGCATCCAAATAAAAAGCCTTGATGAAAGGACCTGTTCCTCTTGCCTTTCTACCCTTCACCACATAAGGAAATGGTGTCCCTCCCCTTCTGCAGGACACAGCAACTAGGTACCATCTTGGATGTAGATATCAGTCCTTTCTAGATAGAGAACAGTCCTATTGGTTATGATCTCAGATTTCCCAGCCTCCAGAACTGTGAGAAACAAATTTTGTCATGTTTATAAATTATGTAGTATATGGTATGTTATAGAAGCACAAATGGAACAAAGACATTCTGTTAAATAGGTGTTTATTCTTTGGTTAGGTTTCTGTGATCCTAGATTTTAAGCTTATATGGCTGTTTATTCAGCTCTTTGACTGCTATGACTAAAAGACCTGAAAAAGAACAATTAGTGAAGGAAAAGTTTATTTGGGGTCTCACAGTTTCAGAGGTCTCAGTTTATAGATGGCTGGCTCCATTCCTCAAAGCTCAAGGTGAGGCAGAGCATCATGGCAGAAGAGTATGGCAGAGGGATGTAGTTCACATGAGGATCAGAAAGCAGAGAGACTCCAAAAAGATACACCCCAAAGCCACGCCCCAAATAACCCACCTCCTCCAGCCACACCCTACCTGCCTTCAGTTACCACTCAGTTTTTCCCTGTTAGGGGATTAATTCACTGATTGGGTTAAGGCTCTCGCAACCCAATCATTACTCGCCTAAATCTTACATTCTTACTCATGAGCCTTTTGGGGACACCTCACATCCAAACCATAACAATGCCTAAGTATTTTTAAAATATTCTTTTATTCAAGAATGTAGTATGTTAATACTGTTTTGCAAGATTTATGACAGTCTTATTTCTTATTTATTGTACACTAAAAGGAAAATTGTATCAAGAAGTAAAAAAATCACAAATTAGCCTTCAGTTATTCTTCTGGGCATAAGATTGCTGTTATGTTTTCCACTTCTCCCTTCAATGGCCAGAAAATTACAAGTGCTCCTTTCACTCATGTTTTGTCTTCCAAATTTTAAAATAAGAGGAATCTGCATCCTGTAAAAAGAGTAACAGTAATATGTATCAGTCCTTCCTACTATTTACCCAAGTTTTTACAATTAAGTTGCTTTGAGGATCTGTTCATTATCATTCACTGCTAAGAATTCTTACAAGCCTCAGACAAATGTTTAGATTGGACTGAAAAAAAAAAAATCACAGCTAAATTTTAGATCTGTCCACAAATCTCTCTAAATAGCTTCACATCATTGTCTCCTTTATCTGGCATGAATAACATTGGTTATTATCTGTTCATATCATTTCCTAAATGCTGAATTCTCATTAATACTCAGATTAGCATATCATACCCACACTGACTTGTCCTAATAAATAAAAAGAACAGATCCAATTATTAAAATGGAAATATTTGAAATATAATTCAAATTATTATTTATGAGCTTTTAATATATTATTTAAAGGATGATTTTTTAAAAAGCAACTTGATAATCGCTCTTTATGTGATTTTCATTTGGGAAGTATGCATTTACCTCTTGAAAGAATTTGTACTAAAAAAGAATAATAATGATGATATTGATAATACAAAATTCAGTGTGGCTATTGTTCTGTGGTTTTGTGTAGAGAATGAGGTATCATGCCTCAGAAATGGTAATAGGAAATTAGAGAATACCTAATTTATAATTTAAAAAGAGTGATAAGGCATTGAGACCATGAAATACACAATATATTAAAGAAAGGAGGTCATGGGGGGCTGCCATCTTTTAATAAAGGCTAATGTAATAAAATGCTATATTTTCTGAGTGATGTTTATATTTTACATTTAGATAGTATGTAAACAAAATGAAATAACCTTCACAAGGACATTTCTGAGAGAAGAATAACTGTCATATGACTAAAACTCTTCTAATCCCTGGTCCCTCTTTCCTCTCTGAAAAAATAAACACTTCTATAATATACGTCTACTTTGTTACTGAGATTATTGAGAATACAAATTGGTATAGGGGTTATGAAAAACAATATGGATATTTCTCAAAAAATTAAAAATAGAACTACCATATCATACACAGCAATAACACTTATATGTATTACTCCACTTTAAGAAAAATGCCTGAGGTGGGGTACTACAAAAAGCCAAGTGCAGTGGGGCACACATGTGCACACATGTAATCCCAGTAACTTGGGAGCTAAAGCAGAAGAATTATAACTTTGAGGGCAGTCTGGGCAACCTTACCTGTCTCAAAATAAAAACTGAAAAGGGCTGGGAATATAGCGCACTAGCAGAGTACTTACCTAGCATGCATAAGGCCCTGGATTTGATCCCCAATATGACCATAAGAAAAAAGTTTGGGGGGATTTTTTTGTTCATTTGTTTGCTTTCCTAAGTTCACATTCTGGAAAATTGTAAAAAGTCAAAGACTGGGTGACCTCATCTATTCAGCCTCTGCTGAAAGCCCCCTTGTCTGGGTCATTTTCTCATAAAGAAATGAAATCAGTTCTATGTAGAAGGAGCCTAGTACATGACAACTCATCCTCCTAAGAATTAACTCAAGTCCTGTGAGAAATAGTTATTAATCCCTTCAGTGGTAACTGAAGGCAGGTAGGGTATAGTGTTAATCCCTCATGGCCTAATTTCCTTGCATTAGGCCCATCCGTTAAGGTTCCACCATTTTCAACATTACCATACTGGGACCAAGCTTTGAGGAGGAACCATATCTAAACCATACCAGGGCATATATCCACAGAAAATGAAACCTGCATCTTGAAGAGCATCTATACTTCCATGCTCATTTTTCTATTTTTTTAATGAGCCAAGATATGGACACAACCTAAGTACCTTGTCAAAGAATGAATGCGTTAAACAAAGGTGGTGTATATCTATGCAATGGAATACCCTTTAGCCATTAAAAAAAGGAAATCCTGTGTGGTACATTCTGAATAATGGTACATTCCTATAATTCCAGCTATTTGAGAGGTGAAGTGAGAGAATTTTAAGTTCAAGCCCAGCCTGAGCAACTAAGTGGGACTATGTCTCAAAACAAAATTAAAAGGGCTATGTAAGGGGCTCAATAGTAGAGTGCTTTCTTGGATGTGAGACCCTAGATTCAATACCCAATACCACAAAAATGAAGCTGAAGAGTGTGAAAAACATAAGATAGAAAAAAATACTATATGATCTCACTTGTATGTGCCATCTAAAAACTCACTTATAGAGGCACAGAATTGAATAATGGTTGCCAGGGGCTGGAAGGTGGGAGAAATGGGCAGATGTTGGTCAAAGGGCACAACCTTTCTGTTAAAAGATGAGTAACTTAGGTTATTATTAAGTTACAAATTCAAATTAATGTAAAGCACGGTGATTGGTTAACACCGTATCATATACTTCACATTGGATAGGAGAGTAGATCTTAAATGTTCTCATGACACAGCAAAGGTAACTCTGGGAGATGTGTTAATCAGATTTACTGTAGTCATCATTTTACAATGTATGTATAATATCAAATCATCACATACGCCTTCCAAATATACAGATTTGATTTGTTAGTTTTTGTATAAAAACACATATCATTGACCTTTACTTTATGCTGAATATCCTTCTACTTATGAAAGTCAGGATGAGAAAGAAAATAAAAGCTTAACAGCAAACATTTATAACACTGCAGACTGTTTTAAAGCTTTTCATGTAATAACTCATTCAATCTCCATAACAATCCTATGACTAGATACTATTCACTAATCTCCATTGCCCAGATGGAGAGATTGAGCTATAGAGAAGTGACTTGCTAAAAGTCAAGGGGCAAAGATCAGGTAGAGCTGGGATTTGAACCCAGAAAGCCCAGCACAGGGCTTCGTGCTCTCAGCCAGGATGCTGTGCTTCCTTTCTATATAGGTGGCCTTCCCCTCCCAACTCTTATCTATAGCTGGGCTCAATGCCATTAGATCAACTATGCTCCAAATTTAAATCTCAGATGTAATCTTTGATCAAGCTCATCTTTGGAACCATCCCATACTACCAGAGTCCCAGCACTGCCAAAACAATTGTAAATGATTTGCTCAAAGTAAACTGCTCCACATTACAGATTAGTACAGGGAAAGACTCATTAATAATTTTGCAAGCTCTGGATGTTTTACTGTATTATTAATCCATTTTATAATCTCTAAGCATTTTGTTATGTTCTGATGTTTCGATCTTTTTCCCTAGTAATTCATTTGCACTTCCCTGCAAAAAGTTGGAACAAATTAAATGTGTAACAAGTGGATTAGATGTTTCAGTGGGTTGTTTAAAATAGTGGTAGATTACATAGTGACATTTAGAGATGATCCTCTTTTTTAATTCTTTTTTATGTCAATCTGCATTTTTTAATTCAAAATATGATAGTAACAGAGTATGAAAGAAATAACTCTTTAAATAAATAACTCAATAAAATCCTTCCATAGCACTAATCTTTCTTTGTACAATCAATCTATAATTTTGAGATTAACTCATTACATTTGCTGTGTTATTTATGCATTAAACTCTACTGATGGTCACAATTTTATCAATCAGTTAATGATATACCCCACTAATTGTGATAATAATGAGGGCCAAAGGCAGTAATAAGCTTTTTCCATAAATGTGGCCACAGGCACATGTCAGATGTGCAGGTTGGAGGCAACAGTGTGCATACACCTGTCTTAGCAATGCAGTCAGTGCTTTGACAGAAGAGGGTACAGGGCCTGAGGTGCACCTAGTCCTGGGGAGAGGTGGGAGAGGAAGCCAGGGATCACTTCAAAGAGGTAACCCCTGCCCTAAGAGACTGGTAGGATGGGTAGATCTTGCTGGGGAAAGAGCACTTTGAAGAGCACTTTGACACAGATCCAGGTCAAATGGTTAAATGTAGAGAAAAAAATGGCAAACTTTGGTTTGATTTTACCTTGTAGAAAACTCATTTCTCCCAAGACTAGTCAAAATTTACAGTAAGCCACCAGATATATATGGGGGTGGAATAATTATTATAATTTCTGTATTTGATATGAAATTGTTGGAGGGTTAGCAAGAAAGCTTTTAAGCACTAAGATTTTTTTATTTTCCTACAAAATTGAAACATATTATTAAGAAATATATAAACTGCTCTTACCTTACCACTCTGAAAGTTATTAATCCTTTTCTTCCCTAATTTGTTGGTTATCCAAATGGCCAGGGTTGGCATATATTGCCACAAATATGCCACCAACAAGAAAGGTTGCTCTGCAATCCAAACTTCTTTCAAATCGTTAGCCATGGCAATTAACATCAGCCGCACACAACGACTAGTTGCCATCTTGTACGACTGATCTCCAGCATGGACCACAGTCTAAGAAAAGTTTAGAATTAAGTGAATGCTGAGTAATTTTTCAAACTATTTCACAGAACATTTAAGCGAAAAAAACTTAAAGGCCAACTAATTGTATTATTCCTTCAGGAATCCCCACAAACCCTATAGGGGGTTATAAACTTCTATAGTATTTCAAATTTAATTTTTTGTTTTTCAGCACTAGGGATCACACACAGGGCTTTGCTCATGCTCACCAAGCATTCTACACCTGAACTATAATCCCAGTGCAATTTCTGTAATTCTTCAATTAGCCTAATAGGAATGATAAATATACAAGAGAATACTGTATGGGCTAACTAAAAGATGAAAGTTTGCTTCTAGCTAGAATTGCTAGAAGCAATTATCACCTTAGAGTGATAATTTAGTTATCACTTTAGTACTGAGACTCAAATTATTATGATATGCATTTAGCAAATGAAATCTCATCAAACAAGAGGATGAAATGGAAGAAGATAAAATGGGCTTCTAAATAAGAAAAAAACCTATCACATAATAGCACACACGTAATGGCAGACATAAATATTATCTTAGCAACTTCTTTAGCCTTTATTTAAACGTAAGGCCAATGCACTATCAGCGGCCAATGCACTATCAGCTGACTAACAATTTTCATAAGTTTTCTAACAAAAGTATGACATAATAACCCTGAAATATAGTAAAAAAACACTACAATATAACAAGGAAAGCATTCAAATTATATGACAATTAGAAATTTTTACCTTTGTGACTTCTTCAGCTAGTGCATTCTTCACAATATTTGAGTAGACAGGTCCTGGGTAAATGTTAGAAATGATTATACCTGGATATTTGGTAAGTTCAGATCGAAGGCAATTAAAAAAACCCTAACAGACACAAAAGGAAAAAAAAGGCAAATAAAGTTAAATGGAGACTCATAGCTCATGATTTATCAAAATATGCTCTGAAAAGCCTGAATAAAGGTCAAGTAGTGTAGTCAGGCAAACAATGTTATGCATTTTTCACTGTGAGACCAGAGGCGATCCAGGAAAGACATCCTCACCTCTTGCCAGGTATAGGCAGTTTGCCACCTTGGTAGTAATGGCTCTTGCCATCAATGGTCTTTATGGTTGGCAAACCCTGAACCAACAAGAAACTCCCAGAAGGTTCTGATACACCCTCCTCATAGCAATCCTCATCTCCCTGCTCTAAAACAAGTGCATGTTCTCCAGAAATCACTGGGGTGGGCTTTCTCTTTATTCTCCAGAGTCATCTAAGTGCCAGTGTTTGGGGCAATAGGGAGTACAGAGGGATCAATGCTGCACAGAAATTCACCACAGAGAAAGAATCCAACCTTTTCAATTGATATTACTATGTAGTATGTTACTAAACAGGATGATTTCGTTTGAGCAGATGAGTCTTTTGGGGGTGATAACTAGTACCTGACCAGTTAAAATTATAATATGATCACGTATTGAATGACATTTATAAAAACAAACTATAGACCTAGACTTAAACATACAGGCCATTTCCAAACCAACAAGGAATAAACAGAAATCTGCTTCCCTTCATCTCTGATCCTAAATTAGGAATTTTCCAAGATTACATTGTTATAAAGCTAGGTTAACTACTGAAACTAAAAACCTAACCCCTGGTATATTCATATTTAATCCAACATCATTAATTAGTAACCAGCCCTTAAATAACTGACCCTTAACACACTACAAGGTGCTATTTCCTCATGATTAGTCCTGGGCCTCATGAGGGTGGTGAGAGTTTATGCAGCAAGCGAAGAGTGCTGTCAGAAATGGACCAAAAAATAATTGGTAAATGAATTGAGAACTCCTGACCTTTTTAACCTTCTGCCCCTCTGCCACAAAAGCAGAAAGAAAACATAAAGTAAGCCATCTGTCAGACAATACTACCTCTCAAGATGGTTCAGATCTCTTGTTAGAAATCCCATCTACTAGCTGGGCATAGTCATGCATGCCTATTATCCCAGTACCTTGGGAGACTGAAGTAGAAGGATCACGAGTTCAAAGCCAGCCTCAGCAACTTAGCAAGGCCCTAAGCAACTCAGTCTCTAATAAAATATAAAAAAGAGATGGGGATGTGGCTCAGTGGTTAAGCACCCCTAGGTTCAATCACTGGTAGCCAAAGAAATCCCACATACGTTAACATGTAAACTTTTCAACTAAACAAGTTCACTCCACAACTTGCTGGAGATCCTAGAAAAAACTGTATTCTTCACAAAAGCCTCCTGCTTAATGTTCAACCATGGTAAAACTAACTAGAGTCTCAACCTACCACATCCTATCAGAAAATCAAATCCAGTAATTAACGGAGAAGCTTGGAGGGAGGCCAGACAGCTCATCTGTGTCTTACTGAGAACATTCTATAAGTCTTATGAAACTCTTGGGGCCAAAAGACAGGTGGTTGTCCTCCCACATCTGCCCGCCTGTGGTTTGCCCAGATGCTCTACAGTAAGACTGACAGCCCATTGTTGAAGAGGAAGAAATCAGTGCTGCATTCTATAGCCTCATCACTTCAAACTGTCCCCTGTTCAGAGAAGAAAGAAGATGTCCTAAAGAACCAAAGCTTCACATTCTCTGAAAAGTAAGACAACCACGCAGCTATTGCATCTCATTTTCCCAAGAGTAAAATGCTGACTCAAACTAACCTTCAACAATATTAACTTTACATTTTGGATCTCCTTTCATCATTCTCCTCCTATTTGCCTTATATGTTCTTCCTGTCCACACTTAAGCAAATATTAAAATTTCCTTCAGTAAAAGTATTTACACCTCATAAGTTATAAAATTCAAAAATCAAAATATTCTCCTAGCCTTTGCCTTGGCTGAGATTTCTTCTTCCAAAACCACTGAAATGTCACATGAGGCCCAATACTAATACTTCAGTTGTCAGTACCTCTTTTCACATTCATGAGACGTGGCAAAATGTACAGTGAGTACAAAGGGGAAGGAAAAAAAGTCACAGTAATGGGAGAAAGAAAATACATCCCAAAGTTTGTGTAGAGGGAGGGGAAGACTCACAGTTTATCATGAGAACGTAGTAGAAATAGGGATAAGGTAAAGAAGACATGCTGACCAGACTATATATACTTCTTCTTCTTTTTTTTTTAGTTGTAGATGGACACAATTTTATTCTATTTATTTTTATATGGTTCCAAGGATCGAACCCAATACCTCACGCATGCTAGGCAAGCACTTTACCACTGAGCCACAACCCTAGCCCCTACATACACTTCTAAAGAGCAAAATCATATTTTTATATTCCAGGACCTGCTGCAGTGTATGGCACAGGATAGATGCTCAATAAATATATTTTGGACAAGTTTGAAGCATGTGTGGCTCAAATTGTTTTTACATGTACTGGGGGATATCTTCTATCAAAGTTCTATTTCTGGGGCTGGGGATGTGGCTCAAGCGGTAGCGCGCTTGCCTGGCATGCGTGCGGCCCGGGTTCGATCCTCAGCACCACATACAAACAAAGATGTTGTGTCCGCCGAGAACTAAAAAATAAATATTAAAAATTCTCTCTCTCTCTCTCTCCCTCCCTCCCTCTCTCTCTTTATAAAAAAAAAAAAAAAAAAAAGTTCTATTTCTGTTTTCCCACACAATTGCCCAGTTCCAGGGATAATCATATTCCCCATTTGGGTCAGTTCTGTCAGAGTAGAGTTTCAGCAGCCTTACCCGAAGAGCATGCTTACTGGCACAATATCCACTGGATAGAGGTACAGATACAATGCCTGCAAGGCTATTCACAATAACTATCTTTCCTTGTTTCCTCTCGATCATGTGAGGTAGGACACACTTTGTCAAGGACACTGTCCCTAAATAGTTAAGCTCAATTAGCTCCTTGAAGACATCGAAGTTGGTATCCATAATCAAAGAACGCTGGGATCTTCCACCATTATTGACCAGAATGTCAATCTAGTTAAATAAAATCAGAAAAGAAATGCTTAGGGGTTGTAAAGGAAATTCTAGGCACAATTGTTTATATTGTTAACTTGAAGATTCAATAGAACAATGGTATATTTCTAAAATTTAGTAATAAAAATCATGGTAAAGTAACCAGAATGTACCTATGGTACTCCCATTTTATAAAACTTTTTATGAAAAATCTCAGACTCAGTGATTAACAGGCCTAATACATAGGCCTGATTACACTGCAAGGATGCCATGTACATACAAGTCTTAAAATGAGAGCACCATGGATGGGAATATCCTTTGTGATACTTCAAAGACGGACAAAGCAATGCAATCAATGCTATATGAATATAAATTGCTACTTACTTTACCAAACTCCTGGAGAACAGCTTTAGTTGCCCCCTCATGGGAACTTCTGTCAGTCAGGTCAAGGGGCAAAATGAGTATATCTTTTCCTTTTAAATTGCCATTCTCTAAATAAAAATACTTTAAAATTAGTGAGAACATCATGACAAAGATCATTCATTCTCCTTGCTACTCTTCTTAAGTTTAACACACACCCTGCAATAGGAGTTGCCCACAGATTCACTTCTGGGTGGCCCTTTGAAAGTTTCTCTCAGTCACCAGGAGAACTAGAGGTAATATGAAAACATCTTAGACAAAAAAAGGTGGCCAGCTTCACCAGACATGGAATGCATGCTTCATTCTGAATAAAGACAGTAGAACTTTAGAAAAGACTGGCGGAAATCAAGACTAACCTACAAGCTATAAGAAACAAAAACTGTAGAGCAATTTCTTTAGAAGTACAGTTTTGTTTACTTTGCAGTAGGCTCACAAAGGTTAGTTGCTGCCTTGCAAACATTTTAAAAAAGAAAATGAAAGTTATGTTTTAATTCAGTAAGAAGCTCAAAGCCCACAGTCAAATGACATGTAGAAGCCACAGGCCAATGACATATAAGAAATCAACATGGTCCTTTCTACAAATCCCACCAAGAATCAACATGTGCTACAACTGCCATTTTCTATTTCTGTTCATTAAAGCAAATTTGCCTGAACTCTAACCTTGAAACAGAATAAATAATGCCAATAAGAAAAACAAAACAGAAAATACAGTAAGTACAAATTATTTATGGGCAAAAGAGGACATAATGAAGCATCATCTGCGAACTAATAAATGTAAGGGCTTGCACTAACGATCTGACAGATAAAAGAAAAGCATTCACGCTCACACAAATGAAGAAAGACTGACAGGGTTCAGCTTCTCTGCTTGTGCAGGACTTGCAGGTTCCAGAAGTAGAGGGGTAACTACCATAAGAAATGACCTAGTGCCATAAGAGGCCTTTGGAAGCAATATCATCAAAGATGACCTGTGGCCTTGCAGACTGTTAATCAGGCAATGAACTCTTATTACAGGGTGTTTAGCTCATAATCAGCAAAGTTAAAGAAAGACTGAAAAAGGAATAACAGAGAGATGACCAAAAAACAATGAGCTGGAAAATTCAACATTCTCTCAGTTTAGGTACCAAGTACCCTATGAGAAAAAAACAACTCTTCTACTTGAGGCTGCTTTCAATGTGAACATAACACCAAAACCCAAACCAACAAATAATTAACACAGTCACCCTTTATAGGAATGTAAACAATATTAGTTCTGGTTGCATTTTTTATACCTAATTTCATTCTGTTTCTTTTATTCTCTATAACAAAAATGTTATACCATTTCATTGACTACAATACTCACCTTTTAGCAAAATGAGTAAGGATCCATCCTACCTCAGTTTCAGTGGTTACATATATGAATGTCATAGATAAAAAAACAAACTGAATGGGGCTGAGGCTGTAGCTCAGTGGTAAAGCACTTGCCTCGCACATATGAGGCACTGGGTTCAATCCCCAGGACCACATAAAAATAAATAAAGATACTGTGTGTTCATCTACAACTAAATAAATATTTAAAAAAAAAACTATTCTTTCTCTAAGACAAAAATATAAGTCACCTGGTCACTAAAAAGTCAAAAAGGATTGGACAATCAGCAGTCTCTCCCTAATGCCAAGAGTCAGTGCAAAAAAGAATAGAAAGCTGACAAAATGAGGCAGGAAAGGTGGAGGGAAGCCAACTAAGATGCGACAAGAGAAAAGGGCCAGGGGCCAGGCACTTGGAGCGTTTGGAGCCAGGGTGCACTGGCAGGAGAAGCCCATCTCCCCTCTGCCATTCCCAGGCTGCACTTGAGTTTGCAGTCTGCCTCATGTCTAGGAAGCACAGCTGCTGTTTTAGGTTCACTCACCTAGGCATTTTCTTTTCACCCTCTCCAGCTCATGCACTCTTCTGGCTGACAACACAAGAGAAACTCCCAGTTTAGACAGCTGGTAAGCCAGCTCCTCGCCAATCCCACTGGATGCTCCAGTCACCCACACCACCATGTCCGTCAACTCCCATTCTATTGAGGAAAGAAATAGAGGTAGAAGGGAATGAATAAGTGAGGGATCACACCTGCACTTCAAAGACTGGCAACAAACAAACATCAAAAACTTTAAACAATACCACTAAATATGAATACTAATGTGTGGAGCTTAAATTTTTTAAACTTTCTAAGAAAACTCCTCATACCTAATCTCATAAAGCATGAATATAAACCATATTAGTAATAGTTATCTAAACAGTATTTTATGCATTGCAGAATTTTCCAGACTTTACTTCAAGGTTAGCCTTATCCTCCATGGTTCACTCCCTGGCTCTATTTATCTATATGTATGATAAGAAAAGTAAAGCTAAGGGACTGGGGATATAGCTCAGTTGTTAGAGTGCTTGCCTCAGATGTACAAGGCCTTGGGTTCAATCCTCAGAGCCATCAATCAATCAATCAATCAATCAATCAAAGTGAACAGAAAGTCATTACCCAGACTCACTTTTCTTCTCCATATAATGATGAATTCAGACTACTTTTTTCAGTCAGTCCTTGCAACTTTTTGAAATCAAGCTTTCAATGAAGAGTGCCAATATTACAAGTGCTGCTCTATGATAAGATGTAATAATCTTGCATTTTAAAGGAAATATTTTCTCCATCTGGCAATCAAATTGGATGACTTAATGTCATTTTGTAATAGTGCCCCTGAAATGCCTGAGCTCTCATTTGAGGAGAATCTTAGTAGTTTACCCAAGATGAAATATATAATGACAGGAAGAAGACATGTTGTGTTCTTGCACAGTCATTTTCCTGTTGAAGACTCTGAAAATTCTGCAATACTAAAGCAATGGCAAGTGGTTTATTTGCGCTGCAGGAGATGATAGTCACTGAAGTCACTGTCTATCTGAACCTGTAGAGTCACTGTGATTCACCTCCTGTGTTTCTTCTTCATTAAGATATGTGTTATGGGGCTGGGGATGTGGCTCAAGCGGTAGCGCGGTCGTCTGGCATGCGCGGGGCGCTGGCTTCGATCCTCAGCACCACATAAATATAAAATAAAGATGTTGTGTCCACTGAAAACTAAAAAAAATAAATAAATATTAAAAAATTCTCTCTCTCTCTCTTTAAAAAAATATGTGTTATGGATTAAAACTAGCTAGCAAGTTATTACTTAACTTTGCATTTCTGATTTTATATCAGGACACTTGAAATCAAGAACCTTGTGTACTATTTCAGTTAAGCACTTTTAAATCCAATCTTTTTAACAATAGCATCTTTAGAGACTGCCAGGGTTCAAATTTCAGCTCCACCACACACAGCAATGAGCATGTCCCATATGCTCAGTGCCTTAATTTTCCAGATCAAGAAAAGTGATTAATATCAAATCCCTCACAGGATTGTTAAGAGTAATGAGTTAAAACATGGGAAACTCGGGCTGAGGCTGTAGCTCAGTGGTAGAGTGCTTGCTGAGCATGTGTGAGGCACTGAGTTCAATCCTCAGCACCACATAAAAATAAAGATACTGTGTGTTCATCTACAATAAAAAATAATAATCATCATCATACAAAAATATTTTAACAGGTGGACTTTACAGCAGCAAAACATAGAATACTAATAACTTTATTCTGATTCTCCCACCAGGGCCAATAGGGTTAACAGTCCTAATGATTTCATTTTTCTTTATTACTTATATGCTTTGCTTTACTTATTAAAACCCTCACAAGAATCCTGTTATGATCTCAGTTTTTTAGAAAAGAAAACTGAGGTTAATAAAGATTAATTTACCCTGAGTAGACTGTAAATACCATCAAGATTGAGACCCTGACTTCCTTGTTCCTGGATAGCCTCAGTGCCTGGGAGAGATTGAAACATAGAAAGGAATCCAAAACTAAATAACTATGAATCAACACCCAAAAACCTTGGCAAAGCTGGGATATGAACCCAGGTATAGCTAGCTCCAAACTCCACACAGTTGACTATCATATAGTGCACATATTTAAATAAGATCAATTGTCTTTGCAGTGCTGGGACTGGAACCCAAGGTCACTTTCCATGGGTGTAGCTGACTTTCCCACTGAGCTATATCCCCAGTCCTTTATAATTTTAATTTTGAGACAGGGTTTCTCTAAGTTGCTTAGGCCTCATTATGTTGCTAAGGATGGCCTCAAACTAGTAATCTTCTTGCCTCAGCCTCTGGAGTCACACCTCCAGAGTGCCTGATTTTACTCAATATTTTAAAACCCAACTGTTTCTTAGATATTCTAAACAATACAACTGCCCTTAGGAAAACAGTCTTCTATAAATATTTAAACTAAAAATGGAAATGTCCCTAAAATATGCCTGGGCTACAAAGCTTTCCTGCAAGGTAATTATACTTTTATGGAAAAGCACAATTGGACCAGGATGTTACAGGATTAAGAAATATGTATTCAGGTAATCCTTTATTTTCTCAATGTTATTCGCTTGACTTGGAATTGACTACTCATTAATCCAAATTTAAGTAAAGTGAATTCAGTTTGTTTTGGAATTCTTTACTCAGACACATAAAGTGAATCTACTTTGCTCTGATACTGTTGACTAACTTGGCCTAGAGCTAATAAAGGTTTCTTCATTTTGTATCTATAAGCAAGCAGCTACTACATAAAGCCAATAGTGAAAGTGTCCAGGCTCAAGTTCACCTTAGCACATTCAATTCTGACACCCACTCTCCCATCCTGAAGAACGCTTTTTTGTTTAGCAGCCAGCCTTTGTTTAACATTCCACAGAATCTGACATATATAAATACTCCCTGAAAGAACACCTGAAAGCAGACTCTTAGAGTTAGACAGAAACTAACATTCAATGCTAAACCCAGTTTGAAAATTCTCTCCTCAAACCATTGACCAGTCTCCACTTCCTTCCCTCCCAGGCTGTGGAAGCTCGTCATCTGGGACTTTCACACAAGTCTAATCATTCAAGGGCTCTTTCTTCCACTGACGGGATACAGCTTTAACTTCTACCCACTGGCAGCAGTGGGCAGCAGGCCTGCCTTCTGGCACCAGAAAGAGTAAATCAAGCCTCTTCCACACGGCCATCCTCATGTGCTTGAAGACAGCTGTTCTATCCTCCCTGAGGACTCCCATCTCTGGCTTCTCTAAGGCTAAATAAACATACTCAACTTCTGCTGCTTTCCTCATGTGTCCTGAGCATCAGGTCCTGAGCTCTGCTCAAACCCCCTGCACAAGCTCCCATTGCTTGTTCAATGCTCCTGTTGAAGGGAGCTGGCCAGAGAAGGATGCAGGATTCCAGTGGGGTCAGGGCAATGCAGAGCAGGATGAGCTGACTCCATTATTTCCCTTGTCCTGCAGAAGGTTCCGTCTATGACCAGATTATGGCAGGTCCCTGCTGCATCCCCAGTGCCCAGCACAGAGGCATCATTGGCAATTGTTTCTTTAGACACTAAATGTCTGCAGATGTAGCCCAGACCCGCCTCAGCTTTGCTGGAAGGCACTTCACAGCTGACTCACACTGAGGTTTCTGTCAACTAAAACCTGAGTTGTCCATACATGTTGTCCCTTTTCATACTCAGGAACTGTGCCATAGGATTTTCTAAATCAATGTCCGATATCCAAATTTAGTTTCCTTGAAAATTCATCTTGTGAGATACATGCCTGGAAATGCAAAGAATATGTCTCTCTAGAAGGACACAAAAGAGGCAGAAAATAGTGATTGCCTGAATACTGGGATTCTGGGGGACAAGGGTGGGGTAAGCTTTGCTTTTTACCATACATGTTTTTATATTTGTAAATTTTTATTACATGAATGTGTTTTCTATTTTTTTAATTGATTTATTTATTTGTTCTAATTTGACAGCAGAATGCATTTCAGTTCATAGCACACAAATAGAGAACAACTTTTCATTTCTCTAGTTGTACATAGAGACACATCATTCGTGTTTTTATACATGTACCTAGGGTAATGATGTCCATCTCATTCCACTATCTTTCCTACCCCCAGGCCCCATCCCTTCCCCTCTCTCCTTTGCCCTATCCAAAGTTCCTCCATGTGTTGTCTACTTTTTAAAGTAACAAAAAATAATAAATCTACAAAGTAATCAAGGAGCATAATTTTTTTCTTCATAGGGCCTGCCCATCTTTATGAATAAGTTGTTTAGGAAATCTCAGTGGATTTCAATGTTCCTTTAATTTTTTTCTTTATCCCCCTACATCAATGTCTTTTTAGACATGTTTTTTTCCTTAATGTGCTCCCAAATGAAGTTGCATTCAACAAATATGTTTCTATACACTGTACATATTTCTGTGTATGCTTTATAAATACAGTTCTATAAAGCTTACTTTTTGTCAATGCAGATTACGAATGACAAAAATTTAAAAACTATTAAACTATTAACTGAATTTGTTAAAGAAATTTTAATGTAACTTATTAAATAAGTGATAATATATGAAATTTTAAAAAATATTTATCCTTAAGCTTTAGTTGGACACAATATCTTTATTTTACATTTATGTGATGCTGAGGATTGAACCTGGTGCCTTGTACATGCTAGGCGAGCACTCTACCACCGTGCCACAACCCCAGCCCTGATATATAAAATTAACATGCAAATTTTCAACTTATACAACCACATTATTGACTATCATCAAATTTAAAATCCTTCAAAACTCATTTTTCCAACAAAAGTAACACAACTGAAAAAAATCATTGAATTTCTTAAACACTATTATTAGTGACCTTATCTTTTAACTTTTACTTGATAATCAAGTAAAAGCTAAACTTACTTAGCAGTTAAGCTGCTAGATATGCATTCAGATACTGTTAATATTTTTCCTTTTCCTCAACATAATTTGATGGATTGAATAACTTTTGTAGAATTTTGTGATAAAAGTAGAAAGTCCAACTTAACACAAAAGCACTTAGAATCAAACATAAACATCCACAAGGCAGCCAATGGCAGTGAATAGGCACATGCCTTTCACCTACAATCAGGAGAAAGTTCCACAGTTAGTAAAATTGCAGTGTATATGGAATTCCTGATTAAAAAACAACTAAAAAAAAAAAAAAAAAAAAAACAAAGTCCACCAATCACAGCCAACTATTTGCCATAGTCTTGTAGCACTGACCTTGCATACATGCTGTGTATTAATTCAGCAACAGTACTGCTGCACATGTTTTACCCAAGAAAGCCCAACCAGAGAAATGAAACACAATGAAATTTTATTTCATCAGGAAGGTTGAGCTTTGGAGAGACACAAAACACTGTGCCATCAGATTTTTTTCAGTCCCCAAGAACCAATTTTATCTCCACCCATCAGCCATTTAGAAGACATAGTCTATCTTCTGAGCTAGTAACTATTTCACTTCCAAGCCAACTTCATCACATACTTCAGGTATTTTCATACAGGAAACTTAATCCCGGGAAACCTCACCTTTGGGCAGGTCATTTCATCTCTCTGAACATCAATTTCCTTACGTAGAAAACAAGAGTAATGCCCAATTTGTACCAGTTTTGTAAGATCAAACGTTATGCTTGTAAAGTGCTGAGCACACTGCCTACCTAGTACACACTGTGTTCATGAATACACATACACCACACACACACACACTCATTATAGGACCATAAAATAGGAAGGCAGAGACAAAAGAAGGGTAGGCAGAATGTCCCTTAGTGTGCCAAGAATCATCTCACCTCGGCACAATACCAATTCAGCTCTTTGTGGTGTTACACTTATATCCTAGTGAGAAGGCAGATGGAAGACACCATTACCTCAGATTTGATTCCAAAACTACAGAACAGCAAGAAGTCGAGGACAAACAACTTCAGGAAGACACACTGAGCCTCTGTACAAGGAGTCTTACAATGCAGGGGGATGCTCCTTGTTTCTCAGAGTGTCCTCCCCTGATACAGCACCCCTGGGATCCGGGCTGAGAAGTCAAACCCCTGAGGACGTCCCTCCAATTCCCACGCTTTCGGGTAGTTTGGCAACCCCAGGGGTTGCCTGAGCTGGAAAGTGAGTCTGTGCCATTTTCCCATAGGGATAAAAAACAGGGTCTGGGGTTGTGGCTCAGCGGTAGAGCGTTCGCCTCGCACAGGCGGGACCCTGGGTTCGATCCTCAGCACCACATTAAAATAAGTAAGTGAAATAAAGGTTTAAAAAACAATGATCTCCATAAAAAAATAAATAAAAACAAAGAGGCAGAACTGCCTCCTTAAGCCCGGCCTCTTCCTTCCCCAGTGGCAGCCTAGGAAGGGCGCGGCCCCGCGGCCCATAAACTCCACGCAAACGCGAGGGGCCCGGACCACCCGGACCACCCGGACCACCGGGAAGCTAGCGATCTAGACCCGCCTTGGCCGCTCTAAGCCCGATCTCCCACTTGTGTCTGGGAGTCACGGAGGGCCCTCACCTGGGCGTCGCCCCTGCCACTCAGCCCACAACAGAGCGAGGTCGCCGTCGGCACGCAGGAAGCGCAGCAGCTGCACCAGGAGTAGAAGCAGCGCGCCCAGCGCCAGCAACCAGAGCACCAGCTCCCAGGTCATGGTGGCCTCAGGCCGGGCTCTAGCGGAAGACGACCGGCTCAAGCCCTCAATATCACACCGCCACAGCCTCCCGGCTCCTCCCAACCCACAGGAAGGAGGAGTGGCCCGGCGGGTCCTGGTCCCGGGCTGCGGCCGAGAGTTGATTTGAGAAGTTGGAGCCCTGGTGGCCGAAGCTGCTGGTTTCGCTTGGATGTGCGCCCAATGAAGTGCTGCGAGAGGAACAAAAGGCACAGATGACTTCATTACTTGGCTATACCATTGTTGGGACAGTAAACAGGATTTGTATTAACAAGAACTATTATTTTCAACAATTGTCTTGCGGACTAGTATTTTTTAGGGCTCCAGTGTTTGGGGGAGAAACAAACATGCCCCCTTCCTTCCTTCCTTTTCCTTCTTCAGTTCTAGGGATAAAACTCAAGGCCTCGTGCTTTCTAGGCAAGCGCTTTTCCACTGGGCTACAGCCCTAGCAGCATCCCCCATCTGTTTTTTGTTTGTTTTGTTTTGTTTTGTTTCCTTCTTCCTTTTCTTTTTTTAACTAGGTGAAGCCAACAAAGCATAGATTGATACCACCACCGAATTAACCCAGTCGCTGAGTTGGGTTTGCCCCATGTCAACTGACATTTGCAGATCACATTGCAAATGACACTTGCTCAGAGCGGAGCTGGATAGTGATTTCTGAGGAGCTTGTTGGTTGGTGAGTTTTAGGCCTTGGGAGCCCAGGCTGGGGCGTGGCCTGCATAGTGTTTAAGTCTAGTGGCTGTGTCCTCTGCTACCTCGTGTAAATGATTTCGTTATCTGAACCCCCAAAGTATACACGAGGAATTTGAAGTGAAAAAATGCCTGTGAAGGGCACAGCACCTTGTATACAATAATATCATTCATTGTTTTGTAATTAAAGATAAATTATCTTTATGAGTTATTTATTCTTTCATTTGTAATTATCATTTATTGGGCTCCAACCTGAAAGATCCGGAATCCTTTTTGTTAACGTCTATATTCTGCACTTATAAAATTCCCCTTACCAGTGAAAGCAGTAAAAAATGTTTAAACTGTGATGAATCAGAAATTGCTGTGATCTAGTTCAGGGTGACCCTAGGAATATATGAGCCCTCTAAATTCTTTTTTTTTTTTTTTTTTTTTTTTTTTTTTGGTTTTAGTTGAACACAATACCTTTATTTTTATTTGTTTTATTTTTATGTGGTGCTAAGGATGGAACCCAACGCCTCACACATGCGAGGCGAGAGCTCTACCACTGAGCCACAGCCTCAGCCCTGAGCCCCCTAAATTCTTATCTTGCTTTATTGCTTATCCCAATTGCAACTGGCAATAATATTGCTCAAGAACTGCTCTCATTGACCTATTGCTTTCACAAGTGTGGTTTCTTCCTCCCTGCCCCTCAGGAGTTTTATTGTCTGTATGATACAGTACTTTTATGATAAGATGTTTTAAAATACCAAATGGAGTCTACTCAAAAGTTTCCTCTGAGCTTGTTTTCTCTGCTTTAAAATAAAAGGATTAATTAGATTTAGCATCCTAAGCCAGAACATCCCATGAATGGAGAAACTAGATTCTCCATCACAAACTCCAGTTGTGGAGAAGAGGGAGTGGAGGATGGGACAGTGGGCTCAGGATTGGAAAAAGTGACAGGAACAATATAATCTCTACCCTCTCAAGCCCTAGAAATTAGAGATCCCTGTGAGCTTTGTAAAAGTTCAAAAACGTGTCTTTTACTCTGAAGATTTTATCCAGTATGAATGTCTCATTCATACCACTGTATTTTTGAAAACTTAAGTACACAATGAAGTATCCCATTTATTGATTTACAAACTGTGATGGTTAATTTTATGTATCCACTGACACAATTTTTAATGAAACAGTCTAGATATTGCTGTGAAGGTATTTTTAAGATGTGATTAAAACTTAAATCAGTAGATTTTCAGTAAGGCAGGTTATCTATCTATCTTGCATATTGGAAGCAGGCCACGTACAATCAGTTGAAGCTTTTAAAAGAAGGAGGCAGGCCCCTGGAAAAAGAGGAAATTCTGCCTCCAGACTGCCTTTAGGCTTCAGCTGCAACATTCTCTCTCCCCTGGGACACTATAGTCTTTCTGGACTTCACAATCACTTGATCCACTTCTTAAAAATAAATCTTTCTCTCTCTCTCTCTCTCTCTCTCTCTCTCTCTCTCTCTCTCTCTCT